TGATAAAGTGCGAATTAATGAGCTGACGTCACATATCTGCCATGTTATCTTATGGGACGTCTGTCACTAAACTGTTGTTAACAACAATTGTTATTAACACACAATTGTTATCCATTGTAACGCTTTTACTGATTTGTTTTGTTGTAACTGTTTTGTTTATTTTCACTTGTTTTGTGTCAACCGCTGTCTTTTTGCCATCTTGTTGCCGTTTTTTGTTGTTGTTGTTATCAATTGATTGTAATTCTTTGTTTTCACTCAACATTATTGTATAACTAGCTTTAAGGAAGTCTTGTTTGTATTGCACTAATTTGTACGAAATATCAAAATGGAGCTGTCCGTTGGAATGTAAAATAAATAAATAAATAAATAAATAAACAACACCACTAGCGACGTTACCTTTTACCTTTTACCTAGGTCCTCTTCTCCGTAGTCGTTGAGACCAGAGAATCGTAATTTTTTTCTTTCTTCTTTGGGTTCTGTTATGTATTGTTGTAGGGTGTGTGGTGTTCGAAATATTAATTTAGACTGTAGTAAGGTTTATTGATTAAGTATTGTTTCAGTTTTTTTTTTATGAAAAGAGTGCTTGAACCTATTGATTTTAGGTTGTTTGGTAATGTGTTAAATATTTTAGTTCCTATTATTTTTGGATTTCTGCTAGTTTTTGTGAGTCTGTGTGGTTGTAGATTGTAGTTTGTCTGTAAATTTCTGAGGTTGTTAGTCATGACAGTTGTTTCTGGTTTGGAGGGGGGGTCATATTTTAGGAATTTCATTATTTCCAGGATGTACAAGGAGGGTAGAGTTAGTATTTGGTTAGCTGTGAAAAAATGTTTGCAGTGTTCCCTATATTGCAGTTGTTCAATTGATCTCACAGCTCTCTTTTGAAGTATTAGTAGCGTTTGTAAATGGTAGTCTGTTGCTGAGCCCCAGGCTATGATGCCATACCACAAGTGACTTTCGAATAGGGCAAAATATGCTATTTTGGCTGTACCTTTATCAGTCACTGACCCAATCCTTCTTATTGCAAAGAGTGTTGTTGACAATTTCTTTTCCAGGTTTTCTATACGTAGGTGCCAGGACAAGTTTTTGTCCAGGGTGATACCGAGGAATTTGGTTTCTGTTGCCATTGTGATCGAGGTGCAGTTTGCCGGTGGGCTATGGCCAGGTTGATTCGATGCTATAAAGTTTATGTTGACAGTTTTTGATGTGTTGATGTCCGATGCCAATTCCTACCTGGCCGTGGCCTGTAGTTAAAGGTGACCGTGGGTGAAGCGGTGAAGCGAGACTTACGCAGTTGCGAGACCTGATTATCGTCATAGCATAGATAAAACATACTCCTCTGTTTTATCTATGGTCATAGTTTTCGATCGCACGATCTTTGCAGACGCTTTCGGCGATCGTGGAAATATAAGTTCGATTTGGAAAGTGTAATCTAAAATCCAATGTATGTTTGTTTGTCCTTTATGGACTCCGAAACCGCTCGACAGGTTGTAATGAAACTTTCAGGCATTATTAAAGATTATTCAAAGATGGTTTGTGCGAAGTTTGGTGCAGATCCGTCAAAAAGGCTCCACCCCAGTGGCTCTCGAGTTTCCTATGTTTACCTTATGAGTACTCATATTTAAATGGTATTAAAGAATCTTAACAGCTGGTTCAACTAAACAATTTGATCCTGTGATGTTCAATAGCATTAAAAAATTAATAGGTTTACCAACAGGGTGCAGCATTATTATTGTTTTAAATTTATGACAACAGCTAATTTGCAACCAAAAAGTGAGTGAGCGTAGCGAACGAACTACAACCTGGAGGCGAGTTAGGGTAGCGAACGAGCTCAAACCTAAAGTTGAGTGAGCGTAGCGAACGAACTACAACCAGGACATGATTGAGCCATGCGAACGAGCACATCTTGAAAATGAACGAACATTGACATAAAACCACATTAGGACAGGACGACGTCTGTCGGGCCAGCTAGTTCTTACATATATTCTAACAGCAAAATCTACTTTCCCAAAGAAAAAAAACATTTTTTAAAGACCCAGGTGAGGCCTCTTCCTAGGCCGAGGCCCTCTGCAATCGTCATATGTTCGCCGTTAGGAGCGGAATACGGCCCTGATTTTGGGGCCTATTGTTGGTATTTGGGGCCTGGGGCGGACCACTCCTGAGAAGTCTACTTGTGTTATTTAGTCTAACTATGATATCTTATAACTTACATTATTATTAATTTTAGAACAGTTTAGAATATACTAATTTGGTTGGTTTCATGTTAAGTATATCGACCTCCAGACATCACCAGAAATTATTTTTTTTCCAAAATGTTTGAAGTTGCATGCTGATTCCAAAAATTTTTGTTTTTTTCTCGGAACCGATATGTTTACCTGGAAAATCGGGAACACCTCCGGTCCTTCAATATCCATCGGATCGTGAAAGTTCTGGAATATTCTTTTTCAGCTCTCTCTGCCGGTTAATTTGAGTACCCAACCCACAATGTTATTTTCCGTAAAAAGGTTTTCGGGGGTTTTCTGATTTTCCGGGTGGGTTGTTTATCCGATTAGAAAAACAACAACAATTTTTTGTATCAGCTCGAAATTTAGGACAACAAATTATTTTGGATGGGCACTGGAGGAAGATATAATCCGTTATAGATTTCAAATACCGGTACACTTTTTCAAATTATAATGAAGAACATGTACTTAATGCCATACTGATTGTAAGCCTAGGGAGGGATATTTTAACTTTTGGGACTTCTTGGTATTTTAGAAACAAACCTTTCTGACAACTCAGGGACCTTTCAGACAGAAAAGAATTTGGTGGCAAACTGAACAGCGACTGAGGACTGACTGACTAGTATAGTGAGTGAACACTGTTCCTGTTGGTGAGTGGTGACTTGGTCTGGGTGTTCACTGTTCGTTCGTTCAATGGTTTTCTCGTTTTCTGGTTCAGTCCAGTTCGTTTCGTTTCGTTCTCAATCTTTAAACCTCAAACTAAACTTCTCGTGCGTGGCACATGGTAACCTTGAAATCAGATGCTATTTACGAGCTGTCGTTGTCGCTATATTGTTGACTTAAGTAATGTCGCTAAGTTATCTCCTGCTAGCTCCTCAGCCCTCAACTTTTTTGCTTGATGATTAAAAGAGAAGATGTCAAAGAAATTTTAAGGTGTGTTTTTAAGTAGGGCTAGGGCCAGTGTTACATACACCTACACGCATTTATGGAGTAACATCGGCTAGTCAAGACAGGTAACTTAGGTACGTTACTAGGGTTTTATCGTTTTATTAAGCTAAGTTACTGTAATGTTCGTTATTTTTGTCCATGCTGGATTAAGTTAATAATATTTTACTTTACATTGTAATAATTAATTAACGTATGATCTCAGGTGCAACTTACTTAAGAGTTCTCCTAGGCCTTTGGAGATAAGTTAGACCTAGGCCTACCATCATCAAGGCAACTTAATGGGCCCTGGGGCTAGTCTCTGGGTCAGTGTTTCCACACAACCAAAAAAAATAATCCCTGTTAAACCTACGAGTTGAGGAATCCCGTTTAGGCTAATCCCGCTATTAAATTGTGAAAAATCCCGTTTTATCCCACATGTTTTTTCCCGTTCAATCCCTAGTATTTTATTTAACGTAAGTTATCATGTTTAAAAAGTTGTTATATTAGGCTACTAGCTACTAATATATTTTGCTACAGTATTTTAATTAATTGGCGCAATGCCTAGTTTTCTCTTAAATTAAGTTAACTTAACTTAAGTATAAAAAAATAACTTATACCGTAGTCGTCATAGCCGAAAATCCAGTTTTATCCCGCATCCCCTTTTAATCCCGCTCAAGGTCTAAAAGTCCTGTTTTCGGGATAATAACTTAATTCCGCGAATGGAAAAACTGCTCTGGGTAGGCCTAGGGATGGCAAAATTTCCCGACATTCGCCCTATTGATAAGTTAAGTGTAACTTATATTGGTTTTTAGATGTAGCCTAAGTCATGGAACAAAAAGTACCTAAGTTATCTAACTTACATGTTACCTAGGCCTAATAAGTTAAATATCGGTCAAAAGTTAAAAATCTAGGCCTGATATATTTGATACCCTATATTAAAAATCGACATAGGCCTACGGTACCAAGGTTCTATAGCCTAACGTACTATTTGCAAGCTTATTTAACATATTAATGCTTATTATGCTGTTACAAATCATGTTCATGCTGCTGTTGCAAATATTCTGTTGGGTTGGGAGCACAAAAGTAAAACTTCCCTCACAAGATAGGGGGAGTGGGGCAAATATATCTCGGGCCCATAACTTAGCGTGTCCAGTGGCGGCCCTAGAGATTGTGGGGCCTAAGGCAAAGTTAAATAGCAGGCCTCTCTAAGGTACCTGAAATACAGCTGTGCGGGGCCCCAGTGACCTATAGGCTTGTTCCCCTATAGAGCCGCCTCTGCGTGTCACATGCATTATCCTCCTTCTAACTGTTTATGATAGACGAGCTTCTTATGGAGGATAAATAAACTGTTGTAACTTAGTTTAAATGCTTGTTTATGGATATTTTGACCAAACTTGGCAAATTTATTTATTTTATTCCGGAAGCTAACATTTTACAAAAAAAAAAAAAAAAAAAAAACACACACTTTATTACTCATTTTGTAGCAGCTAACCTAAGTACAGAACATTGTTTAAACTCATGCTATTCAAAGAGATTTAATTGAAAATCCAATTAGGTAAATGGAAACTCGCTTAGTCTGCAGTTTGGCTTTGGCGGGGGTATTTTTTATAAGGAAGTGGTCCAAACCTGGTCATGTTCCTGTCTAATGGTTTACTCCTTTTAACTTAGCAAATATTTTCCTATTGGTTGGGAAGAAGCTATTACTGTAGGCGGCACGGAAAGACAGAAAGTAGACCTGGTTTACTTTTTCATTTTGATGTCCCCAGGGACCAAATACACTATATTGCATACAATAAATTTGTGCAATATAGCCTAAGCTTTGTTTTCTAACTAAGTTACCTAACTTGTTAATAGATATCATCATCTTCTGCTGATTTGACCGTCAGCACATCATCAAAAAAGGATGGACTAGGTGGAATAAAGATTTCACTAACGAAAGAAACAAAACGATCATCAATGAACGCCAAGACCTCTTCCCTGAGATTCACACCAATACAAGTACACAGAGTAAGTTAAAGTTCTAAAAGAAGGAACCTTAAATTTCTGAGCTGTCCATAAAAGCTTGAGGGGAGGCTTAAACCATATAATATTTATGTTTTAATAGATCGATCATGGATGTAATTTCTATAGGGTATTTTGTTAGTAGGTCTATGTTTATTAAGTCTCTACCTACAGTAAAAAACCTAAGTTAACGACTGTAGTCATCCAGAGTTCGGCCTACTACTCAACTGTGAAAAATTTATCTAATACTGCTTTTTTGTCCAATTGTAGCGATCATAATTTTAGTTTAGGAATGGGGATGCAAACTTGTAGGCCTATCCACCACATAAAAATATTAGAAACATTTTAATATTCTCTGTGTACAGTTTGGGTATGCAGTCTTTATTTCCTCGGACTGAGCGGAACGTACAAAGATGCTGTTGTTTTGCCAGTGAAAAACAAAACAAAAAGATTGGCATTAGCAAATGATAGTTTTCCCAATGATAAGTTCCCTATGATTCTGTGTATTGTTCTTTGATCAATAGTCTGTCCTTGGTTTTCATATGTTATCCCTTTGAACTGTAGTTAGGCCTAGTTGTTTTTAATGTAGACATACAATCATAGGCTTTTAAGTGAGGACAATAACCAAATTGAGATTTTTTTTTCTACAACAGTACCAGTAACACATAATTAATCAACTGATCATGATCCTGATAACTCATTAAACTACAAACAACATTTCCTATCTCATAGTGCCCTTGATATTTCCCTAAATCACAATCACCTTGATATTCAAATAAATATTTTGGGATTGTAAATAACTCTTCAGCGGCTGTTTGAATTGCTCTTATGGCGGGCAAATGTAAGAAGGCCATTAGCCTCCATTCTCTTAAAGATAAAATATACATAGGATGTATATTTTTTACTTAACAAAACAAATTATATTTCTTGTTTTTTTTTTTCATCTCGTGGACTTACAGATATCTCGTTGTGTCCAACCCATAACTATATTAGTTTTGTCAACCGCAAAAAAACTTAAAATAAGCAATAAACTTTGCTGCCAAACCTTGAAAATAGGGATGGACCAATAGGTACTGATTCTCGATTCCACAAAACTTTTGATATGGTACCCACAACATTGAGGAAACATTGAATCTAAGTATATTATTTAACTTACAAATTATAAGAATTATAGTTGGATGTTTTAAGATTAGATCTAAAAATATATTTTAATAAGAAATTACAAAAGTGTTTTGATGTTAATCAGGTTCACAAGAAGACAAAAGAAAGATCTCACTCAAATTCGTCAATAAATAGCAGCGTTTGTACTCCAACTGTTGAAACTCTACCAGAAAAGATGGCAAACGATTCTGAATCGTCAAGAACGTCAACAAAACCAGTGAAACTGAAGAGAGATAAAAGTTCAGAAGAAAGTAGAAAATCAAATTCCAGAAGTGAATACACACCAAGTAGATCTCCAAGTCCAGAAGAATGTAGGAAAAAATCAAAAGAAACAAGAAAACACATTTCAAATCATAGAAGCCCTTCTCGATCAGATAGAAGTCCAGAAGAACTGGAAGAAGGCACAAGATCGTCTCGAAGACACAGAAGCCCAAGCCCATATAGATCAAGAAGTAGACACAGCTTAAAAAACAGAAGATCACATTCAAGTAGAAAATCACTATCACCCGCAGACGATGCAGATCACAATACAAATAGTAGCTCAAGACGACATAGGTATAGAGAGAGTTCACCTGTTAGAAGTAGTTTATCACAAACCAGCGATTCAATGTTGTCAAGAAATTCAAGCTCAAGCTATGACCCAAAGTTCCGTCACTCCTCAAAAGATGCAGATCCTGATGATAGCGAAGCGGACAAGACTATTTACGTAACACCTGAAGGGAAGCCATTTTATATACGGTCTTCCGAAGCTGAAAATGTAAGTTGGTAAAAAAATTATTTCCGTGGGTTATTTTGTAAAACGCTTTTTTGTGTAATGGTTTGCATTTCCACAACTTTTTGTTTAGTACCGGTACATAGAAACAAAACTATGTATGGGATTTTATTGACCCATCACTGTAACAGTCAGGATACAAATTTTTGGTGGGAGGGGGAGTTATAGGAGTTAAATGGATCTTTGCAATAAATTAGTCTAAATTAAAAGCTATTTTTCAAGTAAAATACTAAAATAGACAACCATTTGGTTTTCATTATTGTAAGAAGTAAGAAGTACACATCTCATTTCCCATATTAAAGATGTCATTTTCAGAGTGAGAAAACATTTAGACCTGATTAGTTAAATAGAGCCACAGGCAGACAGGATCAATAACGTATTTGTTTTTTTCTATCAAAAACTCCAACCTTTAAAACTAGAAACTGATAGAATGTTGTAATGTATACTAATCTATAAGCCACATTAATTCAAAGGATCGTCAGATGAAAGACAAAATTTAATTTATTGGCACCTGCAAACTATAGCCTAAGTGGATCATTTAAATATTAATTGATTTAATAACATTCTACAACAGTACGGCATAATTTGTTAAGGTACACAAGGGTTTGCCTCAAATATTGACATGATGAGATTTAGAACAATTCCCCTGGCATATTATCGATAACCACAATGATTAGTATTTATCCACACACTGTTTTATCATCTACCAGATAGCCTACTTATTGAAATTGAAATTTTCAGAGGCAGAGTTCAGGTATCAAGAGGAGTTTAAATGACGACTCTCAAAGTGAATCCCAATCCAACAACTCCAGTTTCAACGACTCCAGTTGTAACAGCTCGATATATCAAACTCCAGAGGGCACACCAAATGAATTTGTGAGTGTATTTTAGAATTATTCATGTTATTTCTTTACTAATATGATTAACATAATTTATTCATAGTAACGTAAAACTTTAACATTCTTAGTGCTACAGCGTCCCCCATAGCAAAGATGTGGTTATCGGCTTTGGCGTGAGCGTTGTCGTGAGTGAATTATCATATGTCACATAGTAATCAACTGTGTCGTGGGCCTATTGGCTGGTTAGTGTCTCAGTTCAGTCTGAAAGCTTTAAAATGACTGTAGGTTCACTTCGCTCTTTCACTGTCGTTAGCAATCACCTGTTTAATGTTTTATTCTGAACAAAAACAGTTACATTTGCGACTCAGGTTTGAAGAGATTATTTATAAATACAAATTTTTATATGTTGGTTATTTTAGTCATAAATTGTTGCATTTGAATGGTTATTTAGTGTTAGTGTTTGTTGGATAAAATATTGCCCCCTATTTCTCCCTGCAAAACAAACTCTTATAACAACGCATCTAAAGGCAGAGTCAGACCATCTGAAATTCAAAAGAAAGTTAAAATCTTTTCTATTAAATAAATGCTACTACAGCGTCCGTGACTTCCTGACTGACGGCTAGAATCTTAATTTTCCTTTAGACAGAATGATTTGTAAAAAGTATGTTTAAGTTAATTTTATTATTTTAAGTTCAATTCCAATGCATATTATATTATTTTGACCTAACCTATACATGTACTTGTGTCTACTTGGTTCAATAAACGAGTTATTGAGTTATGAAAAAAGAGTAGTATCATAATTTAATACTAATATTCATGTATAAAATCATCTCTCATATACCTATTGAAGAATAAGGGGGATATAACTTTTCCCCAGACCTTGCAATATTGGGTCAAATCACACTTTTCATTATGGTGTTAAATGCACCCTAACCTATGTAAGTACTGTATTAGTATGTGGTTCAAAAAAACTTTGTAGGTTGGTTCATTTTTTCTCAGTTGATCAATTATTTTTCAGAATAAAGCAAAGAGAATGAAAATAAGATGGAGCGACTCAAACACACTCAGCCACGACTATAATTCACCATCTTCAGTGAGTTTTTTTTTTTTTTGCCACACTACCGTACTCTGTTTTATAAGCTTTTTTGCCACCTGCTTAATCAAATGGGATATCATTATCCATTAGGCCTTGGGTACTGTAATGAATTTTGCCGGACACCAGCCAATTATTATTAGCCTTGTTTTACTTATTAATAGGGATGGACGAGATTGGATTTTTAGTTCGAGACGAGACGAGACGAGATTTTTTATTTCTCATAAAATTTCGAGACGAGATCGAGACGGGATTTCCCTTCTCATACACAACGGGAAATGCACGTTCAAAATTTTTACCTGATTTTGTAACATTGTTAAATGACTGTTTAAATACAAATATAATGATAATAGGCAAGAATATTTACAATCTTTTATTAAAAAACATCAGCATAACAATTTTTTTATTAATCACGCCTAACTTATTAAAAATGCCTACGATTAGGAAACATAGTGATATCAGTTAGGATAGAGTTCAACTTATCCTAAAATAAAATAAATCATAAAATAAAAGCAATATTAATTTTTATAAAATAATTACTTGTTTTGACTTTTTATAGTAATAAAACATTCCTCACACTGCTTACACTTAACAAAACTTCTCAAATGTTATTAAAGTAATATTATTAAAATAATTAAAGTAATACTTACATTTAAAGAATTAATTAAATAAGAACGCCTTCGCAAAGGAAACGCAACTACAACACGCTCCTGTATTGCGGGTATTGCATTGACTTTCTGCAGGCGTTTTTAATTTTTAACTTTTTTTTTTTATTCTCGTCTCGATAATAATCTCGGCCAAAAAGAAATCTCGTCTCGTGTAACGAGATTTAAAATTTCCCGAAATTTCGAGACTTGACCATCCCTACTTATTAAATACCTCAGGAATTTTTATAAGCATAAATAATTATCAACCTAAAAAATGTAAACATCAAATCAAGCTTGCTACGTTAAAACAATCCCAGACTAAACCATAGTGTTAAGTTCAGGTTATAGATAATAAACCCTTAAACTTACAGATACACTTGTTTCCACTACTTTAGTGCAATTTAAAGTATGACTTTCAACTTTCAATGCGTATACTTACTTATACCGTTAATTGGTAGTTGAGTGATCCAAGTTCCACTGCATTTTGTACTTTTATAGTTACAGTATTCATAATTTATTTTGAGTGTTAAAGGTGTTGTTTTTCAGAGCTGGAGACACAACCTATCATGCATGTCGGAACAAGGAGTCCAGCCAGAGTTGATTGGCTACCAGATGATTGGCGACAGCCAGTTCTGTCGGTTTGGGCAGCAATTACTTGGCCTACAGAGAATGCCCATGCCAAACTGTAAGTGTTTGTGACGCAGTACTTGTTTGAGTATGTTAATAGATGAAGGATCATCTGAAGTTTTTGTCTAAAGAATGATATTCGATATTCAAGGTTTAAAAATTAATAATAGAATATAGGAATGGAAACAAAACATTAGGGCTGAATAGTACGGTAATTGAAAGCAATGAACTTGGATAGTGCAAGTAGATTTCTTATCTTATTATTATTTGAGCGATTATTGCGGATACAGGGTGTATACCAACCGGGAGAACCGGGAAATAACCTTGAATTTGAAGGAACCTGGAAAAAACCGGGAAAAAGCCGGGATTTTTGGAACGAATCCGGGATTTTTATTTTAGCCCCGGTAGAAGATTGTAGTCGTAAAATGCGTCTTGCCGCGATTGCGGGCGACGACGATGACGTTTTCGTGACCGCGGGAGACGACAATGACGTTTCCGTGACCGCGGGGTCAACGATGATGTATACACTGCCGCGGGAAATATTCATGATTTTGCCGAGATTGCGGATGACAACGATGACGTTTCCGTGACCGCGGACGACGACGATGACGTTTCCGTGACCGCAGGAGACGACGATGATTATGTCTACACGGCCGCAGATGTTTATGATTTTGCCGAGATCGCGGACGACGGCGATGACGTTTTCATATCTGCGAGAGGCAATGATGATGTCTTCACGGCCGTGGATGATTTTAATGATTTGCCGTGACCGCGAAAGATGACGATGATGATTTCTACACGGCCGCGTGAAATACTCATGATTTTGCCGCGATTGCGACCTACGACGATGACGTTTCCGTGACCGCGGGAGACTACGATGACGTTTCCGTGACCGCGGGAGACGACGATGACGTTTCTGTGACCGCGGGAGACGACGATGACGTTTCCGTGACCGCGGGGTCAACGATGATGTATACACTGCCGCGGGATATATTCATGATTTTGCCGAGATCGCGCACGACAACGATGACGTTCCCGTGACCGCGGTAGTCAATGATGGTGTCTACACGGCCTCGGAACATTTTTGTTATTTTGCCGTGATCGCGGTCGATGACGATGATGTTTACGTGACCGTGGGAGTCAATGATGATGTCCACACGGCCGCGGAAGATTTTCGTGATTTTGCCGCGATCGTGGATGACGATGATTACGTTATCGTGATCGCGAGAGACGGCGATAATGTATACATACCGCGGGAGATGTCCAGGATTTTTCTATGATAACGTAAGACTGTGATGACGTTTACGTCACTGTGGGAAGCGACCACACGACCGCAGGAAATATTCAGGATTTTGCCGCCGTTGATAATGTGTTCATAAAAAATGAAGATAATATTCAGGATTTTGCTGCTATCGAGAGAGACGATGTTAATGAAAATTATTACTATAATAAGGATTATTACTTTTTAAACACTAGCTCACTGGACTTTGAAACAAATTTGATGTAAGTTTATATTGTATACTTAAGCTGCAAGTCTTAAATTGATTATAGTTTAAGTGGAACCAACAAATACGCGGGAACCTGGAAAAACTTCAAAAAACCAGGAAAAAACCTGGAATGTCACTTTAATAAAATAGTATACACCCTGGGATATTTTCCATCAAGATTAGTAAAAAACAAGCACACTAGAGTCCCCTAATCCAGGTTAATCAAACCACATTTTAAGTGTAAAGTTTGCTGTATTTAAATTGAAAATAGCTGTGTTCTAAAATACTAACCAGGATGTTCAGCCAACCGGGAAACCGAGAAAACTATGAATTGTATTCAAATTTTTATGAGTGGGAAGAAGTCCATGAATTTTATATTTAACTGAGACATTTAGAATGATGGCCAATAGCCTCTAGCCGAGCGTCCATTTATAATAGCTCTCATTGGTATTTAAAGTCGTTGTATTGTAAGGAAAACCCGATGTTGCAAGAGATCATGAAGTGTGTTATCATGATCACGAGAGCAACATATAGCCATTAACAGTCATATAAATTTGTTGTAATTTTTTATGTAATTTTACTGCATTTGAAATGAACTTAAAAGAAGTTGTCTTTCATGTCCTTTCAGCTCGCTTACTTGAGAAAATTAAGAGTATGTAGGAGTTTGCAGATTAAGCTCTTCAGTGATCTTCTATAGACAAATATTCAGTGCTATCCTGTTATTCTACTTTGTGAAACTTATTTATGAACTGTGAACATAATATTGTTGAAATAACAAATGTTTTGACCTGCACATTTTTTTGTCCAACTCTTTTAAGCTGGTGATTCAAAATAATTTTGATGTACAGATTATTTAAAATTTTGGAATACAAAAATTTTATAGTTATGTAATTTTCTGAATTGTCATGTATTCCAGGTCCCGGCAGAATTGGTATCTGCGTTAGCGGCCAAACGATCACCGACCTCCATAAAAGAGTGAGGGACAACTTTTACCCAATTTCGGACAAAATCATTCTTATGATTGGCACAAATGACTTTTTAAGGGTAAGTTTCTTCACGGCCACTTGATTGGTGTCAATTTGAATATGCTTTAAACATATTGTTTACTTAGGCATGTCCCTGTTCTATTTTCAATATCACATCTTTTATTACGTGGACAGTTTAACATAATTAAAAATTGTGCAAATAAATTCTTTGGTCCCACAATGCGCGTTTTGAAAACAACGGTTTTTGATGTGGTTTAACAAATATAGTTGTAATGTAGTGTTGTTTACATAATGCCACCATTTCCATAAACAAATCAAGTATTTAGTTGATAAAATTTTCTTTATAGCCCAAAGGCCTTACTAAAATTTAATTATCACTGGGCTTTTTGTGTAGAGAGGTCTTTTAATGTAGAGGTATAGTTCTCTCAACTAAGAGATTCTTAGTTTTGTCACTACTAGACCTTATGTGTGTTCCGAACCGCCAGATCATGTCATTACACACAGAAAATTGCCATTAATAACCTATTTAAAGGTTCTTAAACCATTGATTTTTTAACCACGATTTCTTGAGGAAAGAAATCCTACACTCTCAACAACTAGACAAATGTATCTATCACCCCTATTTGGATTAGAACAGTAAGTTTCTTTACTTATCGGATTTTGACAAGAACAATTTTGTTCGACGGAGTGATTTGAGCGTTACTGTAATAATATGATTGTTGTCATTGGACAGAATGTGAACGTTAGCAGAATGTGTGAGGAACTCTCTGCGCTTGTGAAGACGTTGCAGAAGAGCGCATCCAACATAATCCTACTGACTCTGCCTCCGATACCGAAACTAGCCAAGAAAAATACGAACCACTTTGAACTCCTTGACATTTACAACCAACACATCAGAAGCCTGGACAACGGTGAGTTAAGGCCTAACCTAATCTGGGTATTTGTGATGAGGTATATCTTAAGGCAGTTTGAATTCTGCAGAAATTAGTTAAAACATTAGCGAGTTGTGAAACTGCAGGGTGAGGTTAACTATTTTATGTAGGCCTATTTATTTTTCAGATCTCTTGTGAGAATAGCAAACCGACCTGAATGGGAAAGAGTCCAAACTGGAACAATAGACACACAACTTTACATTATATACACAAAACATTAGTAGAATTTGTTACTGACAGCTTTTTCAACTAAGAAAAAGAAAATTCTCTCTTCCTTAGTTGAAAATGCTGTCAGTGCCAGTGAAATATGTGTTGTGTTTATAATGTAAATTATATTGTGCCAGTTTGGACTCTTTCCCATTCATGTAAGCTCACAAAAAATCGTAAAAACCTAGACCCTTGTGCTCTATACTACATCCTTATTTATTTATTTGAAACAAATTTAAAACTACATTTTTTCAAAGGTCATTGAACACCATGATGAAAAAGCCTGGTATTGCTTGCTGCTCGAATGGCGACCTATACTTGCCGAAAAAAGAAAAAAAAATTGACCTCAAAGGGTTACAAAATTAAAGACTTGTCGTGTTAGGCCTAGCAAGTTTTATTGTACATCATATATAAAAAATGCCAAGAAAAGAACCTGTTTTAATCTGTGATCCAATTACAGGAGACAGCCTGAGGATAGGAGACATCAGTCCTCTGTATATGACCTGTCCCCCGTACCAAAGTTGCAGGATGCATCTGTTTGAGTTGTAAGTAGAAATAAACTCTAACTTTGGAAAGTAGGAAGTATACAATAGAGCAAATAGAATTACAGAGCAGATAAAAAATCTAATTTTATGTCATTCAAGGTAAATTCACACACATCAGTTCCGCATGTCAAAGTTCAGTCCACAGTCAAAAATTAATACCTCAATAAATATCCTGTTGCGCTGTCAACTCTCCGTTAGTCAATTTCAGATTTCTTTCCAACAATATTTTGGGATTGTTCTGATGCCTACGTCGTGTGACGTATGTGTTTCACATATGTTTTGTTAAGTTTATGGCAGTTGTCATTACAGTTCTTTAATTAACTTTCTTGTGTCGTCCTAAAATATTAAAAGTTTAGTCTCTTCATAAATCATGAACCCATATCCATAGTTTTTTCCAATCATTTTCAATAACTTTTTTCATGCAAGGCGATAGCTATCACATCTAACTCTTCCACATTAAAATCAGCCATTGGTAATTACATCTCGTCAAATTAGGATTCACTCATAATTAAATTTCTTTACGCCACACTACACTGTTTTAATGAATTTCCCACACAAGGATTTAGTCCAGATACACCTGTTTGCCGCCTGCTTAATCAAATGGGGTTTCATTACGTACTACTGTACTGTAATGATTTTTTACCGGACTAACCAGCTGATTATATTTGGCAATGAGTGGTACAAAAACATAACCTCTCTTAGAGGTTATGTGTAGTTAAGTTAAGTAGTTAGTTAAGTTAGCTTAGAGTAGTATGGCAAAAATATAGTATGTCACTCGTCCAAAATGTGTTTATTCGACTCGTATGGTAATCCTCACTCGACCACACTCGTCCGGTAAACACCTATTTTCAGGACTAGTAACATAATAATATTACTATAACATCACTGTAAATAACCAACTGACCAACTGACAGATGACTGACCAATTAGCGAATTTCCCATATAGGGAATAAGCTATTACCGTAGTACTCATGGTAAGACCTGGACCCGGGACCGATTTTTTTTTTCGTTTTGAGGTCCCTAGAGGCCAAAAACACCATCCGTTCAAATTCATATATATATATATATTTATTTATATGTGTCCGTTAGCGCGATAACTCGAGCAAAAATGATCCGATTTTGATGAAATTTGCTACAAACGTGTAAACCTACGTTTATTCGAACGAGTTCGCGAACCAGCATGATCGGACCATGGGAACAGGGGTTTATGGGGGCTTTTATGGGGTAAAAATGGGTTTTTCCTATTTTTGACACAAAAAACATAAAATTTTGAAATTTCTTTCCAAACTATTTTGTAGAGCTTAAAAAAACAAATAATTTAGTATATTGAAGCGTTATAATGCGCCTAATGGTTACGGAGAAAATTCCAAAAAATTGTTAATTTAAAATTCCCATGTTATTCTTATGGAGAATAAGTAAACCGTTGTAGTGTGCTTGTTTATTAACATATTTTGCCCAAATTTGGAAAATGTTTTTATTTCTTACTAACTATTAACATTTTACATAAAAAAACACTTTTACCCTCCCTGTTGCAGCAAACCTAAGTATGTGTTAAACTGATTCTATTTAAATAGGGAATAAATGTGATATTTTTAAGGAGACATTTTAGTCTAAATCCAATCAGGCAAATGGAAATTCGCTTAGTCTGCAGGTTTGCTGTGGCGGGGGTATTTTGGATGTAACAGGGACACCTGTGACTGGACTGTGAATCGACCTTTATGCTTCCCAGCAATATTGCCAAGGCCATGTGAAATCAAAGTAACATTGAATAGGTGTACAATGCAGTTGTCTGCTTGCAATATTGAGCGGAGCTAGATTAATCCAACACTTTTTTAAAGTCATTGCTACATCTGTTTCTCGTAAATGAGATATATACTTGCAGTATCCAATGTCAATGGTATATTTGGTTCACATAAAGGCGGTGACACACTATCGATCTTTTCCCCGATCAAGACCCCGAACCGAGCAGGGAGAAGGGAGAAGGGGGATAAATTTCAGCAAAATTTCACTCCGAACATTTCCCCGAACAAGACCAAGACCAGACGAATTCTACCGAGCGCGGCAAAAGGGAGTTTAGAGAGAGATGGAGAGTGTGTGCGAGTGAGAGCGCGTTAAAAGACGCTTTTTGAAAACTTGTCGCAAAAATAAAATATTCTAGAAAGGATACTTAGTTATATGTATTGATTTTTATTGGTTTTATTAATTGAAATAACGTTACAGAATGATAATTTTAATTGCCCTTAATAATATTAATGTTTATATTAATTTTGAAAGAATTTCAGACAACATCAATTACTTAATTCACTTTAATATTATTGATATAATTGATTTAACGGTTTCTACATTTTGAACCTCGACCAAACAAACCACAACATGACATCTTAAATTGCCATAATATATAACGGCAACATATTACCCAACATTTATTTATTTTACCAATTAAAGGGTCTAATTGCCATATTAAATCATAACTCAACGCTAGCACAGGCGGCCGCTCGGTGCGGCGCTCGCGACGGCGTACGGGGCAAGTGACACACTATCGTACATCACTCCGTACATCGGACCGATCTTTTCTTTGATCTTTCACCAAAAAACCGCCTCCAGAGCGCTCGTCTCCCTGCTCGGCCTGATGTCTGGTTCGCCGTCTGGATCGGTGTACGGGACCCGTGACACACTATCGAACATGCTCCCTTCGACCTCCCTTCTCCCTTCTCCCTGCTCGGTTCGGGGAAAAGATCGATAGTGTGTCACCGTCTTAAATGGAATGTCTATTTTCATTTTCAGTATCCACAGTCAATTGTACGTCTGGTTCACGTAAATGATTTGTCTACTTGCAGGAACCAAAGTTTATGTTTCATCTGGTTCTCATAAATTAAATGTCTACTCAACGCACTGGGTACTGGGGACAGCAATGACGCCGCCCCAGTTCGTTGCTCATCATGAACGTTTGTGGGGCCGTTTTTAAATACAATGCCCTTACCCATTTGCATACCATTCCTTCACTCATAATGTTCTCGCCATACACTTCACTAATCTGTCGATGAATTTCAATGGCTTTCACACCTTTAGCACTTAAAAATCTAATTACAGGGCGCACTTCACAGGCGGCGTCAGTCTCAATTGGCGGCACCATTTTGAATGCTCAAACCGGATGTAAACACAGCCGATTGTTGTCGAATTTCCGGTGCAGGCTTCCAATACACAGCGCAATACATACATACATAACACAGCGCAAATGACCAAAATGCCAATCGCAGCACTGGAGCGGACAAATTTAAAAACGATACTTAGTCAAAAAACATGCCTCGTATAATGCTATGCAAATAAAGCAATGTTACTCGACCGACGCGACAATGCCTACTGATCGATACCAAAGATCACCCTTACACACGGTCCAAGATAACAATTCTTGGGACAGACAGGAAGGGATACTTTATGACCGTATTTGTCCCTTAGGCAGAAGAACGGTGTCAACTGCTTTTTTAGAAACCGACTTATGGCCCTAGCTGAACGAATCAATCGCTCTCCTCAATATGGCTAATATAGTTATTGTGATTAAAGCCATGAATTTATCACCTACGGTAATTACGAAGGTGTTTCTGTTGTCTTTTGTTTACAGCAGTGAATTCCTAACAGAAAATTAGTTCATTTCACTGGAAAGCAGGAATAAATGTTTTCAAAAGTTTTGAGCTTGAAAGAATCACTGGCTATAAAAGGACTATATCAACAGTTTTGTATGTTTAATTTACATCGACCACTTATTTGTTCCAGGTTTTTCGGAGGTCCAGATAAAAGACATGATCTGATTCATTTGAATCGCTTGGGTCTGGAGGTCATTCGTAAATATATCCTTGAAAAATTCTTATGACAATGTATTATAGTTTAGGTTTGTATCAATTCATTAGGCTTTGATACATCGCAGAAAGAAATTTGTATTTCTATTTAGTTGGTTTAACTTACTGAGGTATGTTAACTGAGAAAGTATTTTAGTTATGGATTTGAATGATTATTTTTGTTACTAGAGAGCAATTTTTAGGATTTTGACGTTTCCAAAAATGTGTAATGTTTCACAAAGCTGATGATTTTTTTAGTTTCATGAGTAAAAATGTTATGTTTGAGGGTATTCTTTTGAAATTTGGACCAGGCGATTCATGTTATTATTTGTTTTGTTCAGTTTAACAATAAAGTTCTTTTGTATGAAAGATTCTTATTTTTATGTGCAAATGTTATTTAGGAGATAAATATTTTGAAGTTTTGTTTTTATGAAGCTGTTGATCAGTGTTAACAAATTTTAAATTACATATTTTATGATACTTTTAAAACATGAATTGGTTTTTATAAAAGATTTTAGTAGACTAACTGTTATCAATTATTAAGGTTTTGAATCACTTTTGGCATAGAGAACAGTTGAAAACAATCATTGTGTAATAGTTGGTTGTTGTTTTGATATTATCGTAGATAAAACATACTCCCTTAGTAGATTTCCCATCCTTATGGAATAGCTGAAGCCAATTTTATTGTTAGTTCTGTCCGGTGCACTGTAGAGTCGTGTTTTGTTTACAATTTGTTTATATTATTTTAGGGACAAGTTATTGTTTATGATTAGATAGTTTTATTTGGTTAAACAAGGTTTTTAAATTACTAAAATAGCAAGAAAGGAATTGTAAACTAAACACGACTATAGTACACCGGACCCGGACAGAACTAACAGTAAAATTGGCTTCAGCTGTTCCATAAGGATGGGAAATCTACTAAGGGAGTATGTTTTATCTATGATATTATTCACAGATGTTAAAATACAGTGTAACCTTTTGTCATATTTGTTTTAACTTCTGATTGATAATGAAATGTTGTGTTTTCTTAACTATGAAAGACTTGAAAATCTTGCCAATTAATGTCATTTTTTCGATTACAGTAAAGGATTGGGGTGGAGTAACAGTTTTTACTTTGATAGCCAATTTTGTTAATTTGAGTTTAGTTGTCAGTGTTTAAGTGTTTAGTGTAGGTGTTCCCAACCTACACGTTTTTAAAATATATTTTTGTAGAAGATTAATTTATGAGGATCAGGATTATATTTGATCTATTTTATCATGTCATAATATTAATTAGGCCTGGTTAGTATTACGAATAGTTAATTACTTTTATTATTACTTGTTATTAAACTAAACCTAGAGTTTGCAAAATTAACATCCACAAATATTGCAAGCTCTGGATTTATATAATTTAGTGATTCATTTTTAAAAGGTATATTCTAAATTGTAAAGTAGTATAATCGTTGTTTGTTTTAAATAGACCTTGTTTTGTTAGAAAATACAGTAGAACCCCTCATATCTTTCTTTTATAGGGCTTTTTATATATTTTTAGGGCTGTGATCGTTTAGCCACTGGGTGGCGTCGTCCTGTAATCCAGCTACTAATAGGTCACGAATTGTGGATATTTATTTATAGGCATGCACTGTGGATGAGATACTCCCTGGTGTGGATTAACGTCCGCACGAGTGAGTACTACGACTATCCGCAGTACTATCCTGATAATTAGACCAATTTGTATATACTAAGGCCAAAATGTGGTTCGGATTCCACTATAAACTGTAGGTCCCTTAGTTGCCATTAGCTGTATGGGCTATTAATTAACAGCTGTTTCTAAGGAATATGTCGGCCTTAGTCACTAACAAGACTACAAGATCGCGCCACTCAGCTCCATTCTTACTTGGCTTAAAATACCTACTTTGTATGGTCGCCATTTAATAAGAACATTCAGAATAGTCAAACTAGTGTCTGACCGGGTCCGGTCCTGTCATGGTCGGATATGAGGGGTTTGGGGTTCTACTGTAGTTGCAAAAAACGAAAATGTGTGTGAGATTTAATTTAATCTCATTCTAATTACATAAAAAAAGAAAGTTAAGTAATATTTGAATAGATCTCAATTTTATTTTTTATAAAAAGTTTTATAGTGCATGATAAAATTACCGTACTTGTAATTTCTAAGAATGAAGTGTTATTCAACCAAAGATTGTAAGAACTGATTATTTTTAGATGCAATTTGTTGAAATATTATGCTTTTAATTCTATAGTAACAATAAATCAAGTTGATTTCATCCCAGATCAATCTTGTGTTGATTTTCCTTCTATCGATATTATTTCAAAATGTTCCTCTCGATATCTTCTTTTATAAAGGAAAGAGGAAGAAGGGGATGACGACAATGGAGGTGATCTTGAGACCTATGTACTTGATTAGACACCCAACAACCCAATATTATTATTTTTATGCTTCTTGGAGAACATCTTGATAAAGTAGCTTATTAAGTAATATTTTATTTTACTCAGAAAATATGATCATACATTTTTGATTTTTGACTTAACATAAAAACACATAGTTTTCTCTTCAATCAAAGAAAATGTCTGTTGTTGACGATTGAAACTGAAGAGCAGCTTGTTGAGGAGGTTAATAAGGGTGAGTAAATTCATTTTTGGTAATTTTAAAACAACATACAAAGAAGGTCTGAGCTGCTTTACAAGTTGTTCATTTTGAACAATTTTAATGTAACATACAAATTAGTGGCTACATATGGGGTGTGGTTAGTGATTATGTTAAATGTAGGGGTCTGCAGGTCCCTCATATTTTTTTGATTGGGCCAGGCCATCAGTTGGCCAAATGAATCAATTTAGGCTGTTCAGAAATAATTTCAAAAAAGCTCGGGTCCGTTGATTTATGTTAGATTTTTACAACCGCAGAAGGTAACTGAGAAGACGTGTGAAAAAAAAATTACAATTTCCCTGCAGTTCACTTTCCTGCCAAAATTGCGGTAGATGATGATATTTCCTTGACTTCAGAAGACGTTCACGGTTTCGGCCTAACTTCAAAAGTTGTTCATGATTTTTCCATGACTGCGAAAGATGTTCTTAATTTCACCGTAACTGCTGAAGGTGTTCAAGATTGCGAGAGATGATGTTTAATATTGTATAAACTCATTGTTGAATTAGTAATACTACCAATAATCAATACTATCAATCAATCAAACTACAGTACTTTCCGACAGTGGCGGTTCCAAGAGTGGCTACTGGGGCTAAAGCCCTCCACCCATTGGACTCTAAAAATAGACATTTAACTATACATTTTTTTATTAGACTGTACCTGAGTTTTTTTTTAGACACAGCTCTAGACATCAAAAATGATTTGTAAAAGTCACCGACTGGCTTTAAAAATAAATAGCAAGTTTTCTGGAGTAGGACCCCCTAAACCACCCCTGTTAGCCCACCCCCACAAGGTCCTAGAACCACCAATGCAAATTTGGCCAGAGACCCTAATGCCAACACTTTTTCCCCCAATCTGAAGTAAAAAAGTCTGGCCTGCACCCTGTAGTTAAATTGTAATCCATAACGTTTTTATGGACTGAACTCATATGACATTTCTGCAAGATTTGGAATTGTGTGTGTTGGATCTTGAAAGTAGTATCAGCTGTTCCATGTAAAATTCTAGCTACTAAGTAACTTGATTATCTTCTGAAGAAAACTTTTTCGGTTCAAGAGCGATCCCTATGCCAGATTATCACAATCGAAGGGCGTTTAGTTGGCCTTTCTCCCCTAGTACCGGGATGACGTTTGAGCAGTTGAATATGAATGACTTTCCTGCAATTTTGAGACTGCTACCCATTTTTAAATGGTTGTTGTCTATTAGTGCTAGTCAACCTGGCCCCCCTTTTTTTAGTCCTCTGTCAAATAGGCGTATGGTTGACTATTTGTCCGTTAAACCTCAATTGTAAAAATCGGTCAAGTAGGACGTAAGAAATAGGTATGTTACAGGAAAATCCTTACTATTAGATCGATAAATAATAGCAGCACTATTACGACTCAACCTTCTGCGAGATAGTCGAGGAAGAGGGGTTGCAAAAAAGGCAGCATGATAGGAAATTTAAAGTTTTTACTAAAAATCACATGAACAAGCACGGACACAGAACCTTTGCCTCACTGCCTGCAGCATGTGATTCCATATTTGTACATTAAACATTGCCACATTTTACACGATAAGATGTTGCACACAAATCTCCAATAAGCTCGTAAAATGATTGAATTACGATTAGATTTTGTTAATCCACATAGAGAAGTTGTAAACGCTTAAACTTTTGACATATAGAAAATGTATTTAAAGATTTTTAATAATTTAGTTAAAATTCTTAGATAACTATAGATAACGATAACACAGACTATCAATTTTAATATTGCAACTAATATGTAGAACATAGAAGTATTTGATTTTCATTATACCGTGAATGAGAAATTTAATCAACATTTAGCAGGTGGTACATGATTTAGATTAATTTATTACACACCTAAGTCTAAACTGATAGGATTCTAGAATAAAACAATTAATTGGATAGTTTAAAAAATTTCCTTAAAGAAGTTAACTTAAAAACAAAACAAAACAAATTATTATTCAAGTGTCTTCAAATTTAGGCTAAATTCAGCTTACAACAATGTCACAATACAATTGTAGAAATTAAAACAATTAATTGGATAGTTTACACAATTTCCTTAAATAAGTTAACTTAAAAACAAATTATGGTTCAAGTGTCTCCTAATTTAGGCTAAATTCAGCTTACAACAATGTCACAATACAATTGAAGAAATTGAAATAAACACTTAATATTGAAAAAAAATTTTGCTGTAGTGTACAAATTACTGTAGTTAAATAATACTGTTTGTAACCCAACTATTTATTATGTGCAAAGTAAAAATGAGTTTCAAATTTTAAGCTCTTAAAAAATTAATTTTCCTAAAAAAATACAAATATCCCCCAATCTGTAATGGCTATATGTGTATTAAGAGCGCAAAGTACGTAATTTTCACTCGAGAACTGTAGATCTTAGCTAAACCTTCGTGCGGCCATAAATTCGAGAGCGGCAATGACTGTTGTATGTGATCACATTACACACAAGATTTTTTCCTACCACCACAATTAAATTATCATAACATGCAGGTGAACTTATTGGTTGTATAAAACATATAATTTAGGTTATATTTGGTTTTTTTTAGGTTATGTTATTTGTTATTTGCTTACCGGATGTTAGGGTTTTACATCAACAAACATCATCAGTGTTTATCATCTGATTTAGCGAGCAGGAACAATCATTCCCAAAAGGGAGTAAGAAATTAGCTATTTTGCGTACTGTTTACAGGTGTGGTAATGTAGCCTAATAATTTTAATGTAGTGGTAGGAAAAATGGATTTTGAAATTTCTTTCTTGGTAAACTTATACAACAATTTGAACACAAGTTACAATTATTTTGTACTAAAACAGAGCTGAACAAATTAATAATGTGCACACATTTTCCAACAATAAGGAAACAAAGTTGATACATTAAGCGGGCCACTCACTTACGAAATTAGGATTGGAATACAAACTTTCACATTTCTTCCACACATTTACATGTTACAAACTTTAGTTTAAAATGGTAAAAAATAAAAGATACATGATGAACTAATGATTTTTTCTTGCTATTTATTAACGTGTGCTGTTTATCAGCACACGCTAATACTTACCAAACAGTGATTTATAAGATAGGTCAACATCAATAAACTCAAAGACAATTGGATATGAAACACATAATGTAAATCTATTTTGAGATTGTTATACTGTAATCTATTTTTAGATTTTACAGAAGTAGGGTGAAAAGTCTATTTGCAAATATCAAATATCCAATGTCAACGATTGTAGCTTGTTGTATTAAAAAACCAACTAAAAATTTGTTACATTATTCAAATAATTTTTGCACAGTGAGTGACCAGCCATGTTTATTTGAAAATGATTTGGCACTGAAAAATTATCAGTTTACCTTGAGAACTCACGATTCTATAAAAATAATCATAAGATAGGCCTAATATGTTATTTACGTCTAATTGATACTAATTCATTTTTGACCTTTTTAATTTGTACTTCTTCCTAAATATTGTCCAAGCAAAGTAAATAGTATTGTGATTAATTGCAATAAAAAAGTTTATCTAATATCCATAAACATAGTGCACTATTTGTAACAGAAAAAATAATTAACATAGACACATAAAATAAAATCCCTTTTTTGTATAGATCTTTGCTACATTAAAAAAATAAAATATTTTTTTTTTTAATATTGACAAAAAATAAAAACTTGCAAGCTTTAGCACTCAGTTTTGAAACATGGCAAAATCCAACAACATTAATTATTATTGCTGAATAAAATGTTTTATTCATAACTTAAATTTGCTTGAACAATAATTTGCTAGTATAAAATTAATACTAGTGAATGGTATTGAAATTGATATAGTAGAACCTTAACCAGCCAAAAAACGTATTTCCTATTTTTGTGTTTAACAGTAATTGTTACACAAACTATGTAATATAACGTTCATGGAAGAATTATCTAATTTTTCCAGTTGCAAGTGGATATTATACAATTCTGTATCTTCCTTTGGTAATTAATGTCAAATAATAAGTTTGTGTTGACTTTAATACTTTCAGCTTGAATATTAATTGTTGAAAGAATTTTTGGGAAGATCAGTCAGATCAAACTGTCTTGAGTCTCTATAACCAAAATATTATCATATGGAGTTTAAATGTTGTAAGTTTATAGCTTAAAAATTAAAGAAATATTAAACTAAAGATATACGTAAACAAGCAATTATAAAAGTTAAATTGTTTGTCGACATAGTATAATGTTAATTTTTCACTTATTATTTTTAGTTTAGGGCAGCAAAATGGAAAAAGAAAAACAGCCGATTCCTGGCTATAATGATTGCCATAAAATATTATAGGTCTACTATTTTTAGCGAATTTCCCATATAGGGAATAAGTTATTAAGGTAGGTCTCATGGTAAGACCTGGAATTGGGGCCGATTTACTTTTTCGTTTTGATGTCTTCAGAGGCAAAAAACACCATCCGTTCAAATTCATTATATGTAAATTGTACGATTGAACACAAGATAGGGTAGTTCCTCACCGTGTTGGGTGGCGGGTCCTGGGTCCATCCAACACCTGGGTAGTAGGGTTAGATGATGGTCAGGTACTGCTATGGGCCTACTGACTGTCCGGGCACACACCCCCGCGGTGTGCACACCAGCGTCCCGACGCGACATATATCATAATATGTACGTTAGCACCATAACTCAAGAAAAAAATTATCCGATTTTGGTGAATGGTATAAACGTGTAGACCTACATTTTTTCGAACGAGTTCGCGAACCAGCATGATCGGACTATGGGAACAGTGTGTATGGGACAGTTAATGGGGTGTTTTATGGTAAACATAAAATTTACAATTTCTTTCCAAACCATTTTGTAGGGCTCAAAAAATGAATAATTTAGTATATTGAAGCATTGTTGTGTGCTTAACGGTTAGGGAAAAATCCCAAAAAAGTGTAAATTTAAAATTACCATGATATTCTTAGGGAGAATAAATAAACTGTTGTAGCTTACTTGTCTATGGACATACTTTAATGAAATTTTGTTTACTTCATACTAAGCAATTAATATTTCAATTAAAAACCCCCCTATTTTCTGCCCAGTAGCAGCAAACCTAAGTACTCAAAAAATTAATGATATTTAAATCATACTAATATTATAAATGTGAAAGTTTGTGTGTTTGTTTGAAGTTCAATCACGCATTAACTACGGGTCGGATTGGGTTGAAATTTGGTATGATGATAGCTCAAATTCCCAATTAACATATAGACATATTCTTATCTGAAAAATCCTTTCGGGCTCCACCCCAGTGGCTCTAGAGTTTCCCATGTTAACCTTTTGAGTACCTATTCATATTTAAAAGGAATTAAAGAATGTTGTCAGCTGTTTCAACTACACAAGTTGGTTCTATGATATTCAATAGCATTAAAAGGTTATAAGGTTTACCAACAGGGTGCAGCACTATACATTCTTTTTGCATTTATGCCAACAGCTAATTTGAACCAAGCAGCAACAAAAAGCTGTGAGAAATTTACTTTTTTCTTAAAACGTGACCTCTTCCATTGCAAACGCAAAACACAAGTATAACTGCAATAAGCATTTTTATACTTATACGCCAACCCCGTACAAAGGACGGGTACTCTGCTAGTAGGAAATAAATCTGACAATATTAAGGGAATAATTTAGTGGAATTCCAGCCAGGTAGATGGAAATCTGCAGGTTTGCTGTGGCGAGGGTATTTAAATTACTGCTTTGAGTAACATGTGTTGAAACAATTGCTGGTTGGCCTGGTCTCCATATAAACCCGCTCATTGATTCAAATCCATTTGATTAAATTAAATCAACAAAATATTATATGATTCATGATTGGTTAGGTTCTACAATAGGATGGACATCCATAAGATAAAAATAAAAAAACTTATATAACGTAAAATAACAATTCTTCGCAAATTTTAAACAAACAGTTGCTAATACTCATAATGTCCAGTTTCAATAACACATTTAAAAATATTTCACATAAAAATTTACAAGTACAATATGCACTTAAACTTTGAGTGGCTTTTGATTTAATCAAATCAATTCAAAATATATATTACGTATAGTATTTACAATGTACATAAAACCAGATGACGGGTGAAAAGCAGGACAAAACCGTCAAATGATTTACGACTATTTACAATTACAAACATAGAGAAGAGTCGAAGCTTTGGAATGAACATGTAATACTAAATTAGTGAACTAAACATTTTAGGAGTCACTGATGAACGAAAGGGCTGCATACACACACACGGGCAGTGTATACTGTAAACAATAGCAATCTCAGGCTGGTATTGGGGCTTGAAAAGTCAACTTTTAAAATATGTGTTTGTAGCTACTTGTACTACTAAGTATATGTTAACATTTCAATCTGTCTACCTGTTCACAAAGGGGCATTTATGGCATTATCGACTCTGTTTGATTATTTTTACTAAAGGGATAAAAAGAACAACAGTAGAACTCCAGTAATAAGAATTGTCATTAAAATGACAGAAATTGTTTTTACGGCAAAATCCTTGACATCTGCAGTTGTGTAGACATCATCAGTCTCCTGCGGTCTTGGAAACATCATCATCAACTTCTGTGATCATGGCAAAATATTAAATATCTCCCGTGATTGCGGCAAAATCTTGAACATCCCATACAGATCATGGTTTACTGTGGTCACAGGAATATCATAATCGTCTTCTGGGACCACAGAAAATCTTGGAACATCTTCTGATGGAACGTAATATCATCAATGTCCGCTGCGATTTTGGTGAAAGCAAACATATTTTTCAATTGTGAAATCTTCGTAGGCCTATTTTCTATCAAATATCAAGTAAAAATCTAGTTTCAAAGTAATCTAGTAAAAAAGTAGTTTTCTAGTTTCAGTAAAAATTAAACCATCCAAAAGTGGTGTGATCCCTATTGGAGTTCTACTGTACTTTAGCCCAATATTGTATTTAACAGCTGTTTTGCTGTTGTAAACAAGGTTTTATCGCGATAAACAATTGAAGGCAAGTTTTACAACCAAAATGTATACCGTAGCTATTTAATATTTTGTAAGAAGTAAGTGGCCAATTGATGAATTACTAGTGTCCCTGTTGCCCGAATTCGAGCAATTGCTAAGTATTACAGGCGTTATTTTAAATCGAATAACAATTATAATGTCTGATGACTTTAAAAGATTATGGAAATACTCTAGATGTACATAACAGATCGATATAATCAACATTTCTTGTAAATATCTTATCATTTTTCAATAGCTGATCTCATGTTTTAATGGTTTCTACAAATAGCCTTACTCATAGCCGCATTAGGTTGTCAACAATAACGATTATAAATAAAAAAAAAAACATTATTTCTATTTCTTCTCCATGGTGGTGTTCAATGGCTTTCCTATGTTTCCATAGTTTGCAAACCGGCTCTTTCAATGATTACTAAGAAATGCAGCACAGTGTTAATTTCTTTTTCTTTTTAGTATATCAATTTATCCAGGCTCTCTAGCTTTTTTTCCATTGTAATATTTACACCAACCCATATTTAAATAGTAAATATTTCATTTCAACCAAGTCAGTAAATGTTTGTAGCAAACTGTTAAATTGGCAAACTTATTGACTGTTTACAATTAACATATGTTCTTCTTCTCACTTAATTTCTGACAACAGCTGGAGTTTCATAGCATTGTTTGTTTCCCAAGTTAATCTTATGGAGAAATACAAAACTTTAAAGGGCCCCAGGGCCTCACTCTCTAATTATTTCCCTAAAAAGAAAGTTTCCTGCACAACTTCACGTTACGCTCTTTCCAATGACACCAAAAACATGTCAATCGGTTCAGTAGTTTCGGAGGAGTAATTGTCACAAAAAATCTGCTTGCGTATTAAATAAGTAATAGATGTAACAGAAAATCAATAACTGATAGAAGACTGTTCACAAAACCTAACCAGCCTGGATTACTAAAGAAGCGGAAAGAAGAATTTGAGCACATTAAAAACATACTGAAGGTAATCGGAGGACAACTATACAAACACACCGACAATACACGTTGCCTGACATGAAGTGCCCAACATTCTTACGACTACATGACAATGTACAATGAAACAGCTGACAAGACAGCAAAACTACATAGAATATCACAGTACAGCGAAACAACAGTACGACACAGATACGCGCCAGTACGTACACAGTACGTCACCAGCCGGCGCGCTTAGACCAGTCTTTGGGCGTCCAGTGTAGACACTTTGGATCTATTCTGATCTTCCGTTTTGCCATCGCGGCCATATGCTGTGTCACCGTCTCTCGGTTTATCGTAATTATGTACTGGCCCTTGTAATAGTTTATGAGATTCAACTTTTGAAGGGTGGCAATCACGTCTTCCTTCTTGATGCTGGTCATCTCACATATTTCACTGAAACAAAGAAGAGATTGAAAAAATAGTAAGGTAGCATGAAGAAAACATTCAAGTTTACCCACTGTTCAAGTGCTAACATTTTACTTGAATCAAAATTGGATTAATTTTACAGCTGTCTTAAAACTTAAGGGAGTTACAGAAAGTTTTTGGAATTGGTCAAGATAAAGTAACAGCATCCTATATATGTATTAAATTTATAATTAGCAACTAATACCATTTTGTAAGGATTATATAACAATTTGTTAGGAAATCTGCCTCTCTCGATCACCATAGGCAGTAAGGAAAGAACAGGAAAATGTTCAGACTATGAGGATTATGCAGGCATCAGGTGTTATAATGGTGTTATATGGGCGATGTATGTGTAAACAAATTATGGATAGTAGTTGCTTTTCACTAGGAAATCTCAGCGCACCTAAATAAAATAGGAGTACTATTTCAAAGTATCCTATGCAGCAAATGTAGTGAAAAGGAAGAACAGCACACCAACAGATATTAGATTGCCAGATGCTGAATGCTCGACATAGTAGATGTTTTGGAAGCTAATGAAACAACGACCAGTCAGTGACTCAATCAATAGTATGACAAGCTACAAATCTACAGCAATCATTTCATGGGTTGGTTTCCCAATGCTTTATAATTATAGATCATTCTTTTACTGTACCGACTAACGTTTGCTTTGCTTGATGAGTTCCATACACAGGCCCAAGCCTCATGTAGATGGGTAAATGAACGATTAAAAAATAGGCTGGCAACCTCTTTTTTAAAGGTATCCAATAAGCTTTCCCCAGTTGCAAAAACTGAAGTTTAAAGCTTGACTCTGTGTTATGAAAAACTACAATATTTTGGACAATCAAACCCCAGTATTAAAGAAAAACTTTTATTTACCTTGTAATAATTTATTGGGACAAAAATAAGTGCCTAAAGTTGTAATATTAAGGTAACTAGTTTGAGAGGCCAAAAATCTTCAATTTGAGAAAGTACAAACATACCTTAATGCCAAAACACTTTCTCAACTCCTGATTCATATTTCCATACCAATATTTATATGACTCAATCAGAATTTTTAAAATTGTAATATCTACTAACTTTATGGTGATCTGAGGTTTATCGTTGTCGCCTGTAGGCTTGGTGGTGATGAGAATGTCGAGGATGGTTTGGGCCCAGTAGCTGCGGTACGACAACAATCCCAGATCCGAGAGTGGCTTTTCTGGCGAACCGGTTTTTCCTTCAAACTTGGACAGTTCGTAACCTGTAAATACCAGAGAGGGTTGAGACGATAAAACATGATGGAAATAATCAGGGATGGTTTGCTACAAATTCTTATTACCTCAATCCCAGTGGTATCACAGAATCATCAATTTCCGTACACTGGGTTCCTTTTGGTTGGGGACCGATTCTTTGAAAAACAGGTTAAATACTATAGGTGTCTGTAGTGCAGTGAACCCTGTCAAGTGTTGGTTTAATTACTGCCATTGGCTCAGTACAGCCCATAATAATTAATTATTATCAATTCACTATTCTATTCAAAAATAGTTTTAATTAAAGTCAAGCAAAATTGCATAATGTAATCTCTTTGTCATTTCCAAAAAATGTGAGCAGATGTCGTGCTACACGATGTAACTTTAAACGATTATTATATATACCGTAGTGTTTTATTTTATTCCTCTACTTCTTTTTTGTTTGGGTTTTCACTTTTAAGTGAACAAAAGCATCATCAAGAATTCTGATGTACAATTCTCAATATTAATGGTATTTATAAAGACTCCAGCAACCAAATACTTACTGAACTCAATCAATAGTTTCCCATATCCCTTCCGTTGGTAGGGAGGCATCGTCAGTATGCAAGCAACGTTGTAATCGTCGTTTGATTCTTTCTCTTTAGAGAAGTAACCGACTATGTGAAACCCTCTCTCGTCCAGATCTGTCATTACGTAGAATAAGAACGGGTCGGTGTCGTAATACAGCGTTTTATGGTCCAAGAACAATTTGGCAAGTAGGCATAAATTTTGGGCGTAGACTTTGTTTTTCCGGCCGTCTATCTCAAAAAAAGAAATGGTTCCATTTCTGTAGATTTCATTTCCAGGAGGGTGCCTCAAATTGCATTTTGCCTAGAAAAAAATATTTTATTAGTAAAGAAGAGCACATCTGCTTATTTAAAGTTGTCTGTAACGTCTATAAATAAATTATGAATTGTTTTATTGTTACCATACACAAATTATTAGCAACAGTAAACAGTTTGTATGATGCAGCTCTGATCAGTTTGTTATCAAATGAAGTTTTCTCAATAAAAAAAATGATACATTCTCCAAAATAACTTACCAGGTGTCTTTCTAAACATTTTCGACTTTTCCGATATTTCAAGCAGAATTCACAGATGTAAATACATGGCAGGGAAGTTAGTTCCTGTAACAGACATCACTCTTATTATAGTCAAACTAGTTAAAATAAACAAAAATTAAACCTATTATTGAGTGAATACTTAGACTATTGGGAAGAATGTTTATCTATGGTACAAAATCAAAGAAATCTGACTTGTTTGAAAAAAATGTACTTTTTTAAAATTTCTAATCACTAGATCAGAGTTGGGGATGGTTTGTTACTCAGCATTTTGTTATAGTGTTGAGTAACAAATTTTTAATCCTCTAACAATAATTTTGAACCTAATTGACCATTGGTTTTTGAACCAATAACCGATATGACAAAAAAAGTTGATATAAGAAGAAGAATTACATGAACATTTTTTAGGATCTTAAAAGGTTATTTTAAACGTTTTGCTTCAAGAACAGTCTACAGTCCAAACAGTTGAAGAGTAAAGTGCCTATTTCAGATAATACAATCAATAAGACTATTGGATACTGAAGTATACATCCTATCAAGATATTCATCAAGATATTTTTGATAGAATATTTCTGACCTGAGGGTACGGGGAAAAGTACCACGGTCGTATCCTGTACATTCCGATCTCGATCATCTCTATGTTCTTCATCTTGGTGACCTCATCGTCGTTGTGGGAGACCATGGAGCCGGTGATGCGAGGGGCTGCTGCTGCGGCAGGAACGGGTGTCAAGGGAGGGGGAGCAGGCGAGGGAGCTGGAGTAGGGGTGGGTGTAGGGGTAGGAGCGGGCGTTGCTATTGGCACCTCCAGCGGCCCTGGCTCTGCTAGGATCAGCTGTTTCTGTAGATAACAAATGAGAAATGTGAATATTCAGAAGACTTCATCCTGTGTAAAAATTCCTTAAAATTGACATTATTTTTCCGTTAATGGCTAATTTTAAAAGTCTGTAACTATGTTTCATTAAAATTTTACCGTGCAGTGTACATCTCATAGGAGATAGTCCAGTTATAAACATTTGTGAAGGTTTGAAACTGGGGTATTTTAATCAATTACGATTTCTATAATAACAAATTTCAATTATTCAAAATAAAGGGAGCAAGGCTGTTTCGGATAACAATTTATTTTGTAAATCAATGGTTAGAATTTCAAGGCTTTTTGTCACTGAAAAGCTTAAAATGTAAAACAACTTATTGTAATATAATTAAACAAACTTTAGGTACATAATCTATTTCAAAACACATTCACTGCTAATCTAATGATATTATACTTATGTGGCTGTATGTGCAGTGCCTATTTATTTTTACTAGTGGCATGTAGGGATATTTGTCCCTAAAAAGCTTAAAATGTAAAACAACTTATTGTGATATAATTGAACAAACTACGAATCAAATTATTTATTTGTCAAGATGGATATCCCTGTACACCATATCTTTGTGTAAAAAAGCATCTCTGTTTGCTTTTTACACATTGACTGTTTGCAATTAACATATGGTCTTCTTCCCATTTTTTATTTCTGACAACAGCTGGAGTCTCATAACAATGTTTGTTTCCCATGTTAATCTTATGGAGGAATACAAAACTTTAAAGGGCCCCAGGGCCTCCCTCTCTAATTATTTTCCTAAAAAGAAAGTTTCCTGCACAACTTACACGTTACGCTCTTTCCAATGACACCAAAAACATGTCAATCGGTTCAGTAGTTTCGGAGGAGTAATTGTCACAAAAAACCTGCTTGCGTATTAAATAGCCTAAGTATAGATATCCAATAAATTGCATAATTATTTATTTTTGTTTATTTATAGCTAAAACTTTGAACTGTGTCATTTATATCAATTTTTGAAAAAAAAAATAGTTAATGAAACAAATGCATCATTAGCAAATTACAAGAAATCAACAGCAAAAGTGTTAAAATGGTCAAAGGTCGTTTTCAGAACTTTATATCAAATTACTGTAGCCTATGAGATACATGCTGTTGTCTGCTATATTCCATGGTTGAGCTGTCCAATCATTTGCACCAATTTGCAATTTATCCATTTTTTGTTTTGGTCAATGTGGGCTATTGCAGAGTGTGATTAGAAGGGGTGTATTAACGAATAATACCTCCAATGTGTTACATGGACAGGCAATGATCATTGTTGACGGCAGTGATAATATAGTAGGGGTAGCTGGTTTGAATCCAGCAATGTTCGGCTTATTAGGCCAGGACGCTACCATGTTTAACAACCATTGGAAACTATTACTAGGATCGCAAAATCTCCTGAGCTACTATACCTCAGCAGGTTCGGAGGAGGTAGATGATGATGATGGGGCCTTGCGCTTGCGAGCCATCCGTTTTGTGAGAGCGGCCGCAAGCACAGCACTGCCATTGACCAGTTCTGAGCCAACGGGAGAGGCCGGTCGAGACGATCCAGCCGCACTGGCCACCTGCCGATTAAATTGTTAGTTAACTAAGTCATGACAAATTGTACTGATAACCAAAAAAATTGCAAGATTGATTAATGTACACATTCCAAGTCTATGTCAGAATGTGTTGATGTCAACTACTTACTTCTTTTTAGTAGGAATACACCAAGTGTTTTAACTACACTAAACTGAAAGGAAAACTTTTTACTGTAGATGTTTCTGTCACATGTGCACTATTGCAGTAACAAAAACTTTAATTGGCTCATTCGACTATGTTCTTTTAATCAAAACTGTATATCTGGTCCAAATAGATGGGATGTATTCTTTAGTATCCAAAGGTCAACGGTAGAAATTTCTAAGAAGAGGGTATAAATGGTACGAAATCCAAATTATGCAAAGAACATAGAGCTTTAAAAAGCGGATTGAGCACCAAGCCAATAAATTTCAGTGTCACATAGGTTAAAAAATTATTAAAAAGAACATAAGCTTTAGTTGAATGAGCCAGTCACAGAATGTGCTACGTCTAAAATTCTATTTTCTACCACATTTTGTTGCAGACATGGTTGATGGGTCATAACAGTTGCTATAGCTCACAATAAGTTCCATCATAACTTGGTAAAACAGTTTGTGTAATTGACAGAAGAAATCAGTAGGCCTAATTTAAATTTACATCAGCACTATACGTCGCTAGCTCACACCAACTACGTTGATTTTGATTAAAAACTGGTGACAACATTAACATGGGGATGGAATGTCTAGTTGTATTTAGTCAAAGATTTAACAAAAAACTTGGATGCCAATTGGCAAAAATTCATCATAGATCCAAAAGAAGGCTATCTACTCATCCAGAGGACTTAATTTTAAAGTGTTGCAGGTTACTTACACTAGAGTTAACCTTCTTGGGAGTGCTAACACCAGTGCTTGGCAGAGGTTGGCCGTCTTTCCGTGGATATTGGACCTTTCGGGTGTCCAGCCTTTCCTCTTCCACCCACTCATCTAGCCTCTTGTTGTCTGGGTGAAAAATCAAAGAGCATTAAACCTTGCGATCCCATCATCTAACCACATTAATTTAGTTAATAACTCATTGCGCTCCATTGGCCCAGTTGTTGAAGTTAATACTAAATTACGGTATTGTTTCAACATTAACTGTAATTAAATTCCATGCTGGCCCATGGACTAAGATTTAATAGTGATGATAGGCCTAACACGCGACGTGGACGGTTCGGCGAAGGTAGTAGACTGCAAAGCAGACGCTTTCCTCATTTTGTCCACATTGTCAGTAGGACAATTATCTGTAGGGTGGTTACTTAGGTTTATGAACAAATTGAAAATTGTGTATGACTGGAACTGCACCTTTTAGTTGAAGATATCTCCACTGGTGGTGTTGTTGTGGTATGAATTTGAAATTCCTCTTAAGGAGTTTTATTTATTATTTTTACTTCATACATGTACCGCATCAAAGCATCTTTAGACCGTCATAAATCTCAATAATCTTATACTTAGGTTACATGTATGTCCATATTTACATTTCAAAATGAAAACCTCTATGTAATGGTAACTATTATTCAATTTCATAAAAATAGGCTACTTACAGTCAACATAGTGGACGTAGTAATGCCGCATGCCCTCTGCTTCTTTTATGCTTATAATTTCTGCCAACGCTAAAAATAAACAAAACTTTCAATACAAATTCAAAGGTTGAATGTAATTTTCTCTAAATGTTTAACTAGTGTGGAAGCTTATTTTAATATGGGTAGGCCTACTAATATCTTAAAATAATGATATATTAAATTAATTTATTGTGTTATAGGCTAAACTTAAGCATTTAACTAAACAAAACATAAAACTAAAGCCCTTTCTGAATAAAATAACTATTAATTAGTACCACAAGTCATAAAGTCTATTGTTTTATGGAAAACAATACACAACAACTGGTTCTATGTAAACAAAATAAACTTGTAGGCCGAATAAATGGCTTGTGGAACTGAACTTATTTTACAGAATCAGTTTTTAAAGGATGTTCTAATTTAACACCCTTTAAAACCATGACATATAAATATATCATGTTTGGAAGAATTGCAGGTTTTATAAGTTGTCTACATACCGTACATTAGGCCTAAGCAAAGTTAAGTTAATGGTCAGATTTTAATAAATCTACTCACGCCAATCGTCCCCGCTCCTCATTTTGACTGGTAGGCGACATCCTTCCACTAAAGAACACTGGAAAAATAATACATTTTATAGAATAAAATATTGTTAAAAAGTATAGCCCTAGAAATTGTTGTCGTAAAAAAATTGGTGGGTAATATACAAGGCGGGAACAGTTGTAATAAGAGATTTAAGTTATTTACCTTATTGGAATAAATAATAAGGAGCAAGGTAGAAAATGTTTTTAACCCTCCGTCGGTCGCACCTATTTTTTAACAGGACCAGTCACAATATGTTTCTAAGATACATGTTTCCTTGTTTCCTTTAACAATTTTTTGAGAAGGTACCGGTACCGGTACTTTAGACATGATTATATTTTCCCTCTAATTTTTATTTGACTTTATACAACAACTCTTGACCTAGATTTCATACATGTTTCACACCGTCTAAGCAAAACACATTCCTGTAGGCATATCTAAGTTACTATAGATACAGTGCGACCATCCCCATCACACTGTAACAATGTAAAATTTAACTGAACATTTTCTTTGCTGGGTTAAGACAGTTTTATTTATTTCTGTATTTAATGGAATTACCAAATTGTTGTATGATATAACAGAGATAAATAATATATCACATAAAAACGAGACCGGCCCGTTTGTATTTTGAGATAACTTACGTCGCAAAATAAAAACTGGACCGGTCACACTGTATCTATCATAGGCCTATATACAATGGAGCAAAAAGAGTCATGGGAAGACGATAACAGCGATTCTCTCAAGGCCATATCCCCAACACGCAACTAAGTTTATCATAGCCAGTAGGTGATAAAGACTCTCAAATCTAAAGCCAATGTGAAATGAAATAGCCTAACAAAGCTTAAAAGGCTTAGGGTTATTAATGAACAAAAAATGAGTTTCGGTAGCCTATAGTGTTACGAGAACCTGCAATATATTATAGGACAAAAAGTTTATTTTTTAAGTTACACGTAAATGGTATTTCGATTCAGTTTTTGTTTTTACGTTTTACATTATCATATATGGAATAGGCCTACCTATTTGAAATATGGAATGGGCTAAGTTGGGTAAACTTCCGTATCTGGTGTCAAAAACAACTGAATGAAAAATTATTCAATAGGCCTATATCGTTTGGTTGGTTTAAGAAACTTAACTAACCATAAACGATTAATCGAATTGAATATTGATATTTTGATCAATATTTTAATTCGGTTGTTTTTGACAGCAGATACGGAAGTCTACGTCCGCTAAGTTATATAGTTATGGAATATTGAGTCCATAAGTTAGCATTAATTATTTTATTACCGTTTTTGCACGTAGTTTATTATTTCCTAGTCGTTACATTTAACTCTCACCTAACACAGAACAGATAAGTTAAGTTATTACTTAGTCGGTACCGTAGTTGAAAGTTAGTCTATAACTTATGGACTGGTAAAAACACATTGCCTGAGTAATTCTCAAGATCATAATTGAAATACAAGATACTGAGTGTTTTAAACAATCAATATAAATATAGAATAAACAATCTGACAACAAATTTGAAGTTAAAATGTGTGGTGACTAAACTATTCAACTCAACATTTGGCATCAGTTAGTCTATTACAAGTAACTTATGGTAAATTTAAAAATACAAGTTGTAATGTTACTGATGAAGGCTAGATTATTTCTAGTTTCAAAATCCTGAATAACAAAATATAAGTTTTAAATTGAAAATAGGCTATGGCCTAGGCTATTTTAGCAAACTAAATAGTTAGGTAAGTTAGCCTTGAGCATAAACAATCTTTAATGTGACATTTATTGGGAAAGGGAGCACAATTTAAATAAGCACTCTTTGCAGGCACGTCCTAATTACAAAAAGCCATTCCCTAAAATATTTTTTGACTCTGTAGGCCTATGAATAATTTTGTTTGCAAATAATTTTGAGGTTATGTTTGTTTGGAGTAGGATAACGTAAATGTTTACTGATTTAAGAAAATAATTGCGGGTGCGTAGCTTAATAGGCAATGCAGTATACAAAACCAATGTTAAAAATTAAATAGTAATATTATAATGTGTTTTACCATACAGAAACGTTTGTTGTCATAAGATAAATTTTAGGCTGTTGCCTGAGCGAATTGCGGACAAAATCCCGCGTATGTGCAATGTGCATAGTATTGTTGTTTGAACGCTTAAATAGTTAGGTCATAATGAATACAATCGTAGGTGATAGTATTGAGTCTAAAATAGTTTATTACACTTTTCTACAAGGATAATTTGTAGTTTTCTTTATGTACAAAATGATGTTTGAGGACGATATTATGATAGGTTATGTTTGGATGTACACCGAAACTGATTTTAAAGTATACTCCACATGCTAGTTTTAAAGCTCAAGTTAGAGTTTTGAAGCTCTTATTTATATAATATAAAGCGTATTTTAAGTCATAAAATGATTCCTTGGAGTAAACTTACTACAGAATCGCATATTGTTTCCTTTCCTTCCAGGTCCTCTGTCATACTTTGGAGAACACAAACTTGGATGGATGGATGATATAGGTTAGAATTTAAAGCAGCTGTATTACATTATCAAATGGCGGCATCCTTGCCAATGCTACTATAATAGCTTGGCTTTTTCAATGCTATGTAAAAAAATGAATGGAAAGGTCATGTCTGTTATTTGAAGTGAACATTATTATCTAAAATATTATTATGTAAAAATAAGTATTTTAAAAGTGTGTATTTTTTAGCTTAAAAAATTGAAGTCTATTGCCATGAATGTATTGTAAAGGAGAAAAGTAAAACGAAAGCGCACTGGGTAGCGGTAGGGTGGTTTTTGCTTGTTGTCCGATCAAGATGGCATGTATGAACGCAGGTGACATTTCAAACGTGCGTCAATAACTTTATTTTGAGGTGAAGAAGGATTAAGTGCAAGTGAAATGTGTCAAGGTACAACTGTATCATCCTTCAAAATTCCGGATATGAAGTATTATTGTTTGTAAATTGAAATCTCCGATAAAGATATGTGTAGTTCCGTGGTCTATAAATGTAAAGTGATAAAAATGTGTTAAACTTTATCTTCTAAAATGCAATGATGCAGTCATTATGTCGTCTAGTTCTGCAAAAGCCATAATTTGTGACGAGATATTTGATGAAAATAGCTTACCATCAGAGCAAGGTAAAACAGTTTTACAAGGAACTTAATTTAAGATTAAGTTAAGTTAGGTAAATCTGTTTTAAACTCTTGGTACATTTGAACTTTAAATAGGTAGTCACTAAACTTGTATAGTGGGCTATCTTAGCATAAGTTACTTATTCTCATTTTTTTTAAATTTAACTAAAGTAGTTTCAATTGGAAACCAATATTATAACTTAAAAGTTAGGCCTAAGTTACCTAAAACTTAAAAGCTTAGTATGATCCCTAGTGTGGGGTAGGTTATCAACTAGCCGAAACATTAAATTTCTTACCAGCCTTTTTTTTAGCTCATATAACTTAAGTTACGCGGAGGATATGCGTCGGTTAACCGGACGTGGATTAGGCGTCTGGCAGTTACTGTCATAACCTAACCTTACCAACTAAACTTGCTGATAAAGAAAAAATCGAATGGAGGTTAAATTCTGTTCATAAAATAAAATTATAAATGCCAAAAATTCGAACAAAAGATGTACAGTAGAAGAAATGGCAATCAAAGCAAAATCTTTGACAAAAAGTTAAAGATAGCCTACCGGTTGGATTTGGTGACTATATTGCCTAAAATATATAGCCCAGTGTATGGCGGGGTGTTTCGATCGGATTGCGGGTAACTTAATTTTGAAATCGCCCGGCGACTTCCAGATTGCTAGATTTTTCCTGGCAATCCACCAAATTGTTGGTGATAGGGAGATCGCTGGGATAAGATTTTCAAGTATGTGGGACCAAGCAATCGTCTCGAGCGATATTCTCCTCGCGCATACACACTGATGTCTTACTGGCGTCACCTGAAGTAGCCTAGTATTATTATCTTTATAATTTCCTTGACTGCATTTAAAACAGCTCTGTTCCCTAAATCATTTTCAATATTTAGGCTAATGTTATATTGCTGTTAAGTGACTTAAATTCAAGCTCCATTCTCACACTGATCAACAAACTGATTTAATTGCCACATGATGTCATCTGAGACTGATTTCTGGAGTAAAAAAAAAACGTTCTGACTGATTTCTGGAGTAAAAAAAAACGTTTCGCCCGGCGATATGATTGCTGCTCATCGACTGGCAACAAAATCACCTTATGTAGCCTATGGGGGGCTTTTAAGCTGGTGACATTTTTCACAGGAGGTATTCTAGTGAGAGAGAGAGAAAGAGAGAAAGTATTCAAACGCTTATTTAGGGTTAGTTGTTGAAAGCCATACAAGTTGGGTGAGTTATTTCGTGTATGTGCTGTGAATCGAACCTGTCCCTAACTAGATCAAAGACCGAAACGCTAACCACTTGGCTGGCAATAAGTTACACCATTAATCTGGTTGTTATTAACATTTTGTTGTTGTTGAGAAAGAGTTTACAAAGCAATCATCCATCCATGGTACTTATTCTACCCCGTATGTTGATTCTGTAAATACTCCTCCCAACTCGGAGAGTTTTGTTTTGATCCACTCCTGTCATAGGTTAATTCTGTATGAAAAACTTCTTCAATCAACCTACTGCGATTGCATCATAGCATTCCGCCACTAGGTAGGCCTAGCCTTACTGCTAACCCACTGGCCCTAAATATTTTGTCGAATCCAATCTACGAGCGCTAGTGTCATTGTGTCCTTATGGTAGCAATTGACCTGGTGGCTCAGTTGGCTAAGGTGTTGCACTGATGAGTGTAGCCTTGAGGTCTTTTTACTTGCTCGGGTTCGAATCCTGTACTTGAGCAATCCATATTGAGCTTGCTAAAGAGTGGCTTAGCTGTGGCCCACAAACAGTGTCCGGGAGGAAGCTGGGCACACAACACATGTTTTGTTTCTTTTTACATTGGTATGGAGGCTTTTGTTCTTTTTTTGCTTTTATTTTGGCTAAAATTGGACATTTCGTGTTGAAATATTAGGCTACATATGATATGAGACATAAAAGGACATAGGCCTAACCTACACAGATTTTCATTAAGTTAATAAGTCAAAAATAATTCTGGTGTCAATGTGTTAAGTGTCTTGATTTTCCTAATAAATATAGTCTCTAGGTTATAGGCTAAGCTATCAAATTACGGAATCTCCACAAAACCAGGTTTTGGTCGGGCTCGCATAGCCGACAAACAAAATAGTGACAAACAAAAATAATAAAGGTGAGAACCCAATTTTTTATTAGTAAAAATCAAATTGGCATAGTATTTTAAATTAGGTTATTTTGTTTCTGACGTATCAGTTAGTTGCGCCAAATCGGACATAACAGTCCCTAGTTTGAATACCTAGTATTGATCTAAAGCTAAATTTATTGTCGTCTACCAAACCCAGCGTAGTAATTTTCTGTTTCAATTTATGACCACCGTTCTTCAATATTGGCTAGTAACTTAGTTTAGTGAAAAGCTGAGACAGTTTGAATGTTAAATTAATGTTTATTAGATGGATAGTTAGGGTTCATTTAAATTCTTTAATGTTGCCGTTTAACTCAAATTCAACTAGGCTAATATTCCCAATGTTATGTTATTATGTCATCATTTATTGCAATTTACTGAAAATGAAGTTAAATCTTGCTACAAAGAATAACTAGCTCCCTTAGGCCGCGGCTCCACTTGCCGTAGATTGCAGCGCTGCAAATTGTAGCCGGTCAGTTGAAGAAATGGGAAGGCAGCGATCAAACGAAGGCGGCTCCACTAGCGACAGTCTGCAGCGCGCTACATTTTACGGTGCGCCGTAGAATGTAGCGTCGCGCGGGAATGGAACTCGGACCATTTTCGCGCTACATTTTGCAGCCAACAGGTGGCTCCACTAGCTGTAGATTGTAGTGCCGCGTCAAGTCACGTACAACCGACAGGCATACATGGACAAGACACACACGCTACAATCAGTTTAGACATTTTAAAGTGTCCTTACTTTTTTTATTTTTGTGGATTGATTTGTAATCAATGAAGCCTGAACTGGACTGTGAAGTTATTACATTAGAAATTATTAAATTATTACATCGGGAGTCTGGGAATCTTGTTTTATAGAGGTTGTGTAGGGGTTTCCTACTTTATATTATAAAGTAAAACAGTAGTGATTGGAGACACAAATACGTGAAAACATTCAATGTTTTTAAGTGCAGCAGTCGTACTTTTGTTATAATTATTAGCCCTATAATAAAAAGCTAATAATGGCGGTTTTAGATTATTATTACAGTAATAGGTACAACAAAAACTCACGAAACTCATTGATATTCACCTTACATTGGTTACTTAGAAATATTACTTCTGAGGGTGAATGAGTGTAATAAAATTAAAATAGAATAGAAATAGAGATAAAATGGCCATTATAGTAGAGTAATTCGACACACCAAGGATTGTTGAAGCGAGGGTTCACTGTATAAAATTAATTAGTTAAAATTCAGTACCTACACTAAAATTACCTTAATTTCACTGAAAGCCTTTCCTATACTCCAATTGCTTCTTTTAGTTTGGTATCCTTCTAAAAACGTGTTGATACTGATTCTATTAAGTAATCAAACTAGTTTTGGGACATTCGATAATATTCAAAAAACTTGTCTGAATACTTTTGTAGTTTAGTATGCAATGTGTGGAACATCCCTTCGGACTTTCCGTTGCTTAATATTGGATGGATCCACCATTTTCCTGCTGTAATCGGCGTCATCTTGATAAAGTACACCACGATTACTAGAAACTAGTAATCGTGAAGTACACTGATAACAACAACAACACTACGAATGTTAATTTGCGGCTTTATACTGGGCCAAGTTGACCTCCGCGCTACACTAAACTGCTAGTGGAGCCACGGTGCTTATGAGGACGCTGCAGATTGTAGTTCGTACTCTGCTGCTAGTGGAGCCACCAACTGTCGCGTGTAGCGCGCTACAATTTGCAGCGCGACAATTTACGGCAAGTGGAGCCGCAGCCTTACTGTGAGGTAATGCTAATTTTGTTTAGAGATTTATATTTGGCACAACTGTTTTCATCCAATCTAAATTTTAATTAGATTAATTTTGTGTAAGATATATTTGTAAAAAGATGTGTACTCAAGACAACATACATTACATTGTACTTTTGGTTCTAATGACTTAAGTTACAGTAATTACCATTGAGCTAGATTAATGAGCAAAATTTTTAAGTTGCCTCAAGTATTGAGCAGATAAATTGAGCAATTTGTTCCATAAAGTTCGAGAATTAGATTTAAAATTGCTTGAAAACTCTGTCAGTATGGCTGACGGATAAAGCCTTTCCCTCAAAATAATTGTTGCCTATTTTGACTAATAACTTTTGTGATAAAAAATAAGCTTATTACTCAAGGTTTTTACAAATAATAGGCTACTTTTCATTTTCTTAACCCTTAAAGAAATAATTTTCTTATAACACTATTATTGAAACCTTGTACCATTTTAGTACTTAAGGTTATCTTATCTAGGCTTAAAGCTCTAAATAAAGAAAATGTGTTTTTAATTTCTTACAGAATTATTCATACTATATGAATTATATTTATGGTATTTAAAAAATCTTGGGGACTTGGAAGAAAAAAAATGGCTTTGGAAACATGTTGATTTTTATTACTTTTACGACCATTAGGCCTAATTGACATATTTTTGTAAACCTAATAAGTTTACCTAAGTGTGGCCATAGATAATACACTCCCTTAGTAGATTTCTCATCCTTATGGATCAGCTGAGACAATTTTATTGTTAGTTCTGTCCAGCGCACTGTAGAGGAGTTTTGACGATATTCCATGTAGCCTACTGTTTTATGTAGGCCTACAATATGAAATAAAGACGATTTGATTTGAGAGGTCGTGTTTTGTTTACAATTTGTTTGTTGTTATTTCAATAATTCAAAACCTTGTTTAACCAAATAAAACAATCTAATAATAAATAATAACCTTCTAGTTACATAACCAAACAGTAAAACACAGGTCATGAAAATGACCCTAAAATAATACAATGAAATGTTGTCTACACTAGCGATCAGTGTAGACGTACATGAACTAGACACGAAAAACAAGCTTCAAAATTTACATTAAGATGATAAGTCTACTTGTGTTGGTAATTTTACGGTGTCGCTGTAGAGTGTAACTCTCTGCATCATCTGAACTGATACATTTTATTATAGGGCTAACTTAAATAGGCTTATATCATTGTCAAGGGTTAACCTGTTAACAAAAAATGAATTTATAGATTGAAATACAATTTTGAATCTTGAAACATGTTTTTTTAAAAGATAAGAATCTTCTTACATTTGCCAGAAGGTGCCAAATGTTTGACAATTCTTATCTACTATTTAATTTCAAGGGTGTCGAGGCTGCTCAATTTATTTTTTTTTTTATATAATGTATCGAAGTAATACAGTGGAATGTTGATAACAAGTTAAGTGTCATTTTCTAACCCCCTTGAATTAATTTTACCCCTAATCACATGTTAAATATTGCAAACCTCGGTAAGAAGTCAACCTTGATAACAATTCTTATTTAATAGTCCCAATGAAAGTTTTGTTATCGAGGTTCTACTGTACAACTAAATTGTTCTAATGTTTTTCAGAATGTATGGATTACCATTAATTTAAATTAGCTTTTACCAACAATGTAAAATGTTCGAAAGGAATGTATGCACAATAATTTGAAAACCAACGTAAAAAACAATCACACGTAGGATATTTCAAACTATATACTGTATAAAAAACTTTCAGTAGTTTCTGAAATCTTCATAGCTGTTCAAAAAATCTTTTTGTTTATTTGTTGTCATAAAGTGAGCAGGATTTAATATTCAGTTTGGCATGCTGAGTGTTTAATATAGACAGTTGTTATGAATGGGTTGCATGCCAGTTTGACTTTGTGTAGGAGGATTTGTTGTGGGAGGGAGGGAGGTTTGTGGCAATCAATATTACCATCAGCTGGTGCATTCACATCTCCACGCTTCAAGTGGAGATAAATTATTCAAAGGTCATCCGTTGACCCTCATTCATGGAAGGATGAGCTCATGTTTATCGTCCCTTGATCTCGGAATGATATTTTTGTCTATTATTAGGTTTTATCATGCAAATATTTTGGCCATGAAACTATTTTATTAAGATAATAAGTGTTATTAATTAAAAATCAATATAACATTTCTTATGAGTAGCTATATATAGTAAATTTACTTTTACTAGCTTCTTGATTACCATTTTTATGTGTCGGCACTAAGAATACAATAAATTACCCCCATTTCTGATATATTTATCAAGTTTTCCGATATTACTATAGTCAACTTTTACCAAACTTTTGTGTGATTGTTTGTCTTGTTGCTTTATAAGGTTTAAGAATACACTATTAATATTAGTAAGCTTAGATACAGTATTATTATGCACTGCAACAAACATTAATCATAGAGACAAATTGTAATTAATTAAAAACACCCACTTTGCTGCCAGCATTTTTGATATTTTGCTTAAATTAAGTTTTAAGCGTGGTTTATATTTAGTTATATAGTGACAGTTTTCCGTTAGCGATTGCGATTTTTCTAGTTTTTTCCTACCAATAAGAACAAGAAACCTAGAATCCAGCAAACTCAACGACAACATCAACATATTGACAATCAGTCTATCTATATTTGCACAATCTATCTATATATTAATTACGTAAGCCGATTCTTTGCGTCAAAATTGTGGGCGACTGGGAAGTCGTAGAATGACGGGAGAGAGCTCAAATTAAAGGTCTCGATCACGTGACAGCGGGAAAAATAGTGAAATTCCCTAAATTTTAACACAAAATTAGATATAACGTAAAATATTCTCCATAAGAATAGCATCATTAGAAGCCATTTACTCCTGATTTTTGTTTACTTCAATACAGCTGATCACGATTTATCACTAAGCCGGTACGCAATATTAACATTTGGATGACTTAATTGCCAGTCAATTCTGTAATGTACTATATAAAATATCGTTAACTATAATAATTAAGACTTTTTAGTTACCGGGATGTACGTTATAGAATGTTGAAATAAATTATTTTTCTGTGAAACTTTTCAAATTTGTGTATTTTTAACGTATAACATGAAATAACCATATTGACGATTAAATTAAATAATTAACAATTCGAGATTAAATGGAAAACTTCTGCTTTGTTTCTATTTACTTTCCGTTTTTATTTCAAAACATATGTTCAAGATTTATTCTACACTTTCTTTGTACATTTACTAACATTTTAAATTTTGGATTTATTGTAGTCTTTAGTCAATATTTTGTATGAAGTGAAATAACCTCAAAGGCTACTCTTAGGCCCCTATTAGACGAGGTAGCCTGGCGACGTCGCCAGCGACAGTAGTTGGCGGCGCACTGGCTACCAAACCTAGTAGCCAGTTGAGTAGCAAGAATTTTACCGCCGTTACTCATTTTGTTGTGAGTGCTTGTCTTGCACTTGTACTTATGAGCGGTATGTTTACAGTGAATAATGAGTGATTATAAGTATCTACTTAAGTCTTCAGTATTCACCTTTGTGTCGGCCAATTTCTGACACTTTTTCATGAGCTCTTCTTGCTTTTTATTTGCTTTTTTCTTTTGATATCCTATCGGAGTCGGAGGTTCTTCTTTTTTCTTTATATCTTCGCGTATCCCTTCGACTGAATCAGATGTAGACATTTTATCAACTGAAGTGAACAATTCCCCACTCATAACACAACAGAACGCAACACAACAGTGTGCAAGTACCCCCGTGATATGAACTGACCGAGTGGCGACGTGATACTGGCGACCTAGTGTAATAAGCTCCATATGCTACAACGCAGCGTCGTCAATATGGGTAGCCAGTGGCTACCGAAGTGGCGACGGGGCTCGGTAGCCAGTCGGTCGCCAAAGTGTGGCTGCGTCGCTGGCTACCCTCGTGTAATAACATCCATAAGAATCAATGACCCTTGACAAGCTGAGTAGCCAGTTTGGTCGCTGGCGACGTCGCCAGGCTACCTCGTCTAATAGGGGCCTTAGAAAATAGCCTGGGAATTCACAAACAATTATTTGTTTGCTGCCTTTAGCAGAATTAAACCTATGGAGTGATTCAAATTATTTATTGAAAATAACATCAACAAAAGCAAATAAAGACATTCAACAAACGGGTTTTTACACAAAAGATATGGTGTACAGGGATATCTATTCTGACACATAAATAATATATTTCTGAGCATGTTTAAATATTAGAATAATTTGTTTTACATTATTGAGCTTTAGGGACTTATGTCCCTACAGGCCACTAGTACATTAATTGAAGACCTATTTCCCGGCAAGACCTAGAGCCGGGACCAGTTTACTTTTCCATTTTTATGTCTCCAAAGAAAGACTATTATTTTTTCTTTCCCAAAGTAGAAAATCTAAGTACTCCTTAAGTACTCCTTAATCCTAAAATCTCTGACATGGAAGTATCTTTAGTAACTTAAAATGGAAGATCCACCAAAGAAGAGTAAAGTTTTTTTTTTCAGTTTTTAATTTTTACTTATTGTTTGCCACTTCTAATTTGGCTGCTTCAAACATTTGTTGATTTTAGCTAATTTGTTTATGGTTTTTCCCTCTTGTGTATTAATCATTGTGTGTTCTAGTTGACATGTTTGTGTTCCTCCCCATTAAGATCAGAGCAAATTGCGGATTCCAAAACTTGAACTCATTATTATTACATTATTTAGACTCACAATGTTGTATATTCTAAAATAACCATACATGTTACAGAGGTGAGGGACTATGCTATCAAGATCGGCATCAACCCCGACACTGAGAAGCATTTGCTTACCATCGCACTCGATGGGCTTATGTCACCACTGCCCGAGGAGTGGAAAGCTTGGTGAGTTTATGAAACCCAAACAATCAAATTATGTCTGACCACCCAGGAGCGCGGCCAATCCTACATAGCAAAAATATGTGTTAGCCGGACAATGAGCAGAAAACAACAAAATAAATTAAAATGTACAACTTAAATAATTTCCTTAATTAAGAAGAAAATAACTTGCAAATATTTACATGTAACAACAAAACTATAACAATAACAATGTTATTGTTAATTTGATTTGATTTGAATGACTCATTGGGCAGGCATGCAGCGCTACAGTCAGGAAACAGATGTACAGTTATGGGTGAAAAAACTTGGTTGCACAAAATCGGCAGAAAAACTGCCTGATTATGTTTAGTACTCACACTCTTATAAAACATGTGCTTCCAAAATTCTTATTTTATCTATTTATATTCACGTTTATTGTACAACTTAACCTTGTAGGAGGTTTTTAATGGTAAGTATTGAATACATGAAATGATACTGTTTGCAGTAATTTTTGTGATGTAATAATATTACATGTGATTTGGTTAAAGCAAGTTTGTTAATGTTAAATGAATGTTGGATGGGTTTACTGTTAAAGCTGTATGACTTACTGTCTACTATAACTAAATAAAATCATAGCATGCATAATGACAGTAATATTCATATCCTATCGAGATTGTTTACTATTTTTTTGAGCCTTAACCTAAATAAATTGACAAATCTTAAACTTTTTACCAGCAATCTCTGTCAGCCTACAATTTTTTTAATCTTTCCCAACATGCTTATTTATTAAAACTTCCTCATTCATGACCAAACTATTTGACTGATTCTAAATAACTTTTGCTACCTTAGAGATGAGTTGGTTTTTTTTTAAGGCCGGCTGACATAAGCCAAATCAGGAATCAAAATAGATTGTATTACATGTGATAAAAGGTTAAAAAGTGGTGCAGCATTTGTTCACCAGTCCTTAAACAAGTTGGCATGTTTTGTGCCAATAAAAATTATAGTTATTAATAGTAGGTAAATGTAATTTTGTTTTTTTAGTCTTGATGAACGAGTGAACCGCATCTACTACTACAATGTGAAAACCCATCAAACCCAGTGGACCCATCCCCTAGATGAACATTTCGAAAGCATAGTGAAGAAGAAACGACAGGAAGAGAGCATCTCTGCTGGTATGTGTAAACTACACTATATCTGCCGTTCAAAATGAAAGGATATAGATTCTGTTACTTTCGAGAAGACTTTCGGTTAAATATTTAGTCCCAACTTATAAAATAGTTTGATGGATAACGTTGACTGTTGCTCCACCCGTTTTCCAAACCTTCACCAAACACCCAAGTCTCATAATCACACAACACACCAGTCTATGAGACCAACAACAACAACCCAACCAACAACAACAACAACCCAACCAACCACTACATCAACCCCTATAAGCCCTCGCTAATTAATCTCACCTAAAAACCAATAACTTTAGAAGTTTTGAATAGTGAGCCAATTGACACAAAATATGAAACATTTAGTACAGGTCAACCAAATGCTAAATAAATAATACATGAGATACAGCTTTTATGGAAGGCGAGTTACAACTATTTCATTATTTACATCTTCTGACAATATCCAACACGAAAGATATGCAAGATTGACGTTTTAAATGGAAGATGTGAACTGTATTGTAGTTTTAAAGAATGTAGTTACAATTGTGCATTTCCACTTAAGCAGTAGTTGGCATTAAATAATAACAAAGTTTTGAACGCTTTTGGCAACAATAAAAAAAACAGTTGCTGTGTCACTGCGGTGAATTTTTGTATACATAACCAACCGATAGAAATACAAAAGATAAAATACATAGGTAGTAGTAGCCTACAGATAAGGAGACTCTTAAGGAAAATGCAATTTTATTTTTCACTGATTACTTCCTTTGACAATTTTATTCCTTTTTCTAGGTGATGACGACTCAAAAACGTCAATGAAAGAAGATCTGAAAAGTTTTGAAGAAGCAGTGACCACCTCAGACATGCTGCCATCCAAAAATCTTCCCTCCTCTCACAAGTCTAGACTTACCTCCCCCGCCAAGGTAGGGGCATGGAAATTAATATTAATATGTTTTTCCTTTGTATTGGTTTGTAAAATTATGATGATAGTCATTAATATTCAACAGCAAACTGTATTGTTGAATCTGGAGGAGTAAAGTGTCACATTAACATGTGGATACAAAAACTACTTCACAACTTGTTGTGGTAGTAGATCTCCTATATTCATTGATAAGGACAATGAGTTTACTACTGTTTGTAAAATGTCTGGCACAAACAGCATGAAACAAACATGCTACCTTGAGCATCCTTGCTAACTTGTTACTTTGTTGGCTACTTTTAGATCTCATTGAAAAAAGTACCTGAAAAATACCATCCCTTCCTCTTGTCCTTTTTATTATAACATAACACAGATTAATCTAGTTTTGTCTGTTGTCTGAATATTCAGACCTAAAGTTTTTATTATGAAATAATTTTTAAAAGAAGGTGGGGATTTTTTTTTTTTTTTTCTTTGATTACCTTACCATATTCCCTTTAGCCAATCAAGTCACCTTCACTGCTGGTATGTAACAGTATGTTTTTATTTCATCCACAACTACTTAAACATAATTCTTCCTAGAAATTATTACTATTATCAATTATGGTGGATTTGTAACGGTATATTTAAACCCAAATGAGATGCATTGTGTTGCTTTAGTACTGACTAAGACCAACTTCTTTAGCCAAGATAATTCATAAAAAAAACTAATGATGAATGATTGCTGGTCCAGTTTCAAACAGCATACTTGTTTGTTTTCCATGTGTTATCTTCAGCTTGTGGAGAAAACATACTAATTTCTATCCTAAATAACTGTAAACTTATCTAAAAAAATAATTCTTACAAATAACTCTTTGTAGCCCCCGTCCCCTGATGGTAGGAAGGTGCTCAACCCTATTGGCCGTCCACCGCTGCCGCCCAAACGTCGTGCCACCTCCACCTCCCCCAAGCGTGGCCTCAGTCTGCGTCTCTCCAGTCCGGCCCCCTCCCCCAGCCGCATAGACATAGACTCCCTGGGCGTCCCTGTCAATGTGACGGCTGGTCTACCTTCCCCGGACGTCAAGGAGAAGTCTGGCGCTCGCTCTCCCGGCATTAAGCTAACTGGTTGGTGGAATAGTGATAGTAGGGTTGAGGGGTAAATGCTGTTGACGTTTTTCATCTCGATTGGTAAAATACCAATGTTTTTTCACAACAATCAAGAGCTGAAATTTGAACCTGACTTCAAGTGAGATAGTGCAAGATAGGTGACGATTAGTATTGTACACAAACTTAGTCCATGCCGGATAATCACAACAAGAACAGTTAAGAATAGACAGTTAAGTAGTCAAAAGAAGAAAAAAAATCCAAGAGGAAAACAACTCCAACTCTAATTACTCTGATCTCAAGAAATCTTTTTAGTAATTATGTTGGTAAATGTTTGCAATAATCCCTTCTACATAAAATTATCACAAAAAATGAACTTACAAATATTTGATACCATAATATTTAGTTTATTTTTTTAATAATAAACTTTTAACTTCCAGGTGGAGGCTCGGCATTTTTAAAATCAAAACAAAAACAAAGCCCAAGTCCTACAGATGAGGCCAAAAAACTTTTGGACGATTCTGGTCTCAAGTCCTTTGAAATCGTCCGCGAAGCAGACAGCTTAGATTCATCAGATGAGAAAAGTCCAAACAACGAAGTTGAAGATAGAAAACTCAAACATTCCTTAAGTCTTGGAGAATCTGGTTTCGACAAGTTGATCAAATCGAAAAAGTTTGTGAGCCTTCAGGAGAGTTTGTCGAGTTTGAAGAGTGAATTGGAGATTTCTTCGAGTGACCTAAAGTCCCCCAATACAAGTGGATTGCGGGGTATTTTGAGGGATAAACCTTCTCCCACTACCAAACTGTGGGATGTCGATCCAGCCCTTCTTACCAGTAAGTTGTTTGTTATCAATAAATTCTTTATTCATATTTTAAAGCTTGATGACTCAGGGCTAAGTTTTAGGCTACAGGATTATTTTTTACACGCAGCTTGTAAAGTAGCCTAGTATACTGCACTCGCTAGATAGCTGCTATCACAAAGCTCAAAAGTACACTTGGCTGGAAATTTTACACACCACTTACATAATTTTGAGCTAACTAGACCAAAGAAAGTTTATTTTCGCCAGAAAAGCCAATTAGGCAAATGGAAGTTCACTCAGTCTACAGGTTTACTGCTTCCTTGGTTTTTATCTCTGGTAACAAGTATTACAACTATCAATTGTTTAAAACTTGTGACTGTGTAAGAGTTTTACAAGCTAACCTGATATTTATGTATTTAAATTCTTTCTTTCCTCCCAGGCGAAGAGAAAGAGAAGCTGCGTATTCAAGAGATGAAAGACGAACGCAAACAGAATGTTAGATTTGCTGATATCATCAATAAGCCAATCAACATTGAGTTTTCCAAGTCAGATTCTGAGGATGAGTCAACGACAAACGTAAGCAAAACCTTTGACTACTACAAACAAGTAAATTGTAAAACTAATTAAAAACTGTACATATACTATTATCTATACAATAATGCAAGGTTAAAAAAGCTTTCACTTGTTAAAATTGTCGCAAGTTTGTAGCAATGGGTACTTTGCTACAAGATACCACCTTATTTCTTATGCATACTTTTTTAACCATGTTTAAATGCATGGGTACCTTGTAGTGAAACATCTGTTATGTCTCGATCATCTGTCATGGTTTGCAAAACTAAAAGAGGAAATATTTTAACTTTCATAGCACCCTTTATTGAGACTTTTACCATTAGGTAATTATTTTCCTGTTAAAACAGAGTTGAACTGGCTACAGCTGGTCCATATATTTTGCTTTGATACGATATTTTATTTTACTATATAAACTCATTACACACAGTATCATAATAGGTTTTACCTACGACCGTTTTTTAAAGTTGCCGTTTCAGTACAGTTCTTAAAATTGAAAAGTATCTCATAACAGCATTGTTTACTTCATAACAGCATAGTTTTACTCATAACAACACGGGTAAAGGACCAATGAGGTTCAAGGATTGAGAGAGAAAAAGTAAAATTGTAATGATTCGAACTTCAACTAATCAGCTGTTTACCAATTTAATTGTTATTGATTGGTGAAATTAGTGTTTGGTTCAATATTTCGTTGCATCACTGTCAGTGGCAATGGGAGGTTATAAACGAAAACATAACCTCTCTTAGAAGTTATAAGTGGTGATTTTTAGTAACTAAAACACTGTCGTAGGTAAAGTAGTGTACGCACCTCGCGTAAATAGTGTTACCGACACTCGTAGAAGTTTTTAAGTCACTCGTCAAGGCTTGTACCTTAAATTTTCTACTTGTGTCGTTAACACTATCTTTACGCAATCGTTGCGTAAACTACCAATAGGTACTTAAATTCTTAAAATTCTTATAGATGTCCACTTTAATATGTAATGTTGATGGTATAACCTGACTACTTAAATTTCTGTCGTTTCTTTTGTTCATAGGCCCAAAAAGTTTTATCAGTTCTTGAATCCTCATTTTGTATATTGGTATATCTCCTGATATTATGATCATAGCTGAAATAATGAAGTGCTAAGAGCTAATAAAAATATTTTTATACCAACAAGTTAATCTCAATCAGCTGATAGGGACATGAATGTCATGGTATTTCAAACAAACTAGTAAAACATTACCCAATAAAACAATAAATTGATTCCACAATGTAACCTTTTGTCAGTCTTATAGAAGTTTTAAAGTTCTGCCTAGGTATTAGAGAAAAGGATTTCAGTCATATAAATTGTCAAATTTTTTGTAATGTTCAATTTTATTATTGTGTAGAATTTTTCATGCAACTGTGAATAATCCTTTCTTACGTGGTTTTCTATTACAGGACTCTTCTAACGATTTGGACGATTTAATCTTGGAAAATATGCACTCTGACGACGAACTTAGGAAGGAAAATAAGCTATTAGGTAAGCTTTAGATTTTAAGAGCTTTATTCAAAATAAGAGACTAATCTAAATTTTTATTGGCTAACTGTTTAGGAAGTGAAAGATGTTTAAAGCCTAATTTTATTTCATATTATATTAATCTTTTAATCTAAATGTAATCAATGTCAGTAAATTTTTACAAGAGTTAATCAATGTGTCTATGGATAGTGTTTCTGGCTTATGGGGACCTAAATTTTTTGTAAAATTATTAGCTATACAAAGTATTGTGGTTCGACAGAAGACCTTAACGTCTACAAAATTTTTTTTCATATAGAAAGATTTGACTTAGTATTATGACTTTTAAACCTGTAAAACATTCTTGCAAACAACTTTTTAAAGAACTAAAGATTCTAACCGTCCCTAATTTGTATATTCTTAAATGTTTATTGTATGTGAAATCAAATTTTGAAAAACTCCACAGTGAAAATAATCGACACAATTATAACACTAGATTTCATACAGATTTTCAATATCCTATACACGGATTAAATCTTGTGGAAAGGACACCTTCTTATATGGGTAAAAGATTTTTTAACAATTTGCCTGGGTACTACAAATCTATAATAGGATTAGTATCTTTTAAAGAAAAAATTTTTGAATTTTTATTGGAAAAGAATTATTATAGTATTGGTCAGTTTCTTGAAGATAAATCAATGTGAATTGTTTGTTTTGTTACCTACTATGTATTTATTTTTACCAATATAAGCTAGTTTATTTTAGTATAGTTTGACAATGTCACCTGTTTTGTCTGGCTGTGCCAGAGCATAAAAAAAAAACGTTTTGTGGCAATAAAGATGACTTTGACTTTGACTTTGACTTTGCAAAATATGATAAAAGAGTGTGTTGTGTTTCAGAAAATTCTCTAAAACTGCACATGAAATTAGACGACAATGAGAATACAAAAATTGATAGTTCGCCCGAGTCGCTAACAAAAGACATGAGCTCACCAGGAAGCAACAAATCCAACAGAAACATCATCTCAAGGCTCTCTGACCTTGGCATGGATTCAAAGAAGAAACGAGATACCAAAACAAATACTGAAAGCGACAACATCAACAGAGAAAGTGGCAATTGGCTGACGGATACAGAAGACATCATGAATCAGAACGAGAAGAAAATACAAGCTTTAAGAAAAAATGTTTATGATGTTACAAAAATTAGTTGGGACGCAGAAAACAATCCGATAGACAAACATCTGACTGAGTTGGGATTTGCACAAACTCAAGGGATTTCTCCACGAAAACAAGGCAGTCTTTCGCCAGTGAAGAAGACCCAGATGGAAATCTTGAACAAAGAACTGATGGATTCATATCAGTTGTCGGTGCAGAAAATGAAACAAGACTCAGGTGACTTTGATTTGAAACAGATGAGCGATGATGTTGGTGATGGCATTGTGAAATCTAAAGACGTCCGAAAGTCTAGACTTATGCCGAATGTTGATCTGCAAAAGGTTTGTAGCTATACATGTTATATACCTATCGGTTCCTACAAAAATAGTAGCCAACCATATTCAAGTTAGCCAGCTTTGTTATTAACTTAGCTGTTAAAATTAGTATTTTGGAACTGTTAACATTTAACAGTAGTTTCATCTTTCTGTTCAGCATATTATTTTGATTGTTGTATGTTTACAAATTTATCCTATAGTAGCAAGTCCCTTAATTGGTATTGTGCCTTCAAAAGAATATATTAAAATAGATTAATCTGTTACTAACTCATGCTCCTATTCCTTATTTCCTATTTCCTCCATTTCCTATTCCTTTACATTTTTACCAGGGTTTGTAGTGAAGATTAGGCCTACTCACTGAATTCATCATGTTTACCTGACCCTGACATCGATCTGATTTTCTAACAAGGGTTGTTTTGAACCAATGATAGCTGAGTCTATGGCCAGTAGTTAGCAACTTTTGAAAAGCGTTGAGAAAAGGTTGATAATAATAGGCTGGACTTAGTTACCACTTTTAAATCAAAAGAACTTATTTATATAACTTTACTCTAGTGTTTTTGTTTTGGACTAGGTTAAGAAGATCATTCTTGTAGATTTAAGGTAGAATGGCGGTCCCCGGTGTTGCACATAGAGGAGGGATGTAGTTTTACAGATTTGAAAAACTTTTGATCTACATCAATTTAACATGTAATACAGGATCAAAGGGTAACCGTTTTTAGCTTTATTTTCTTTGTATATTTAAATCTGTGGCATTTATTCACGATTTTTGTATCGGTCCAAACCCTGGTCTTGTTACTATCTAACAACAGATTTAACATGTTTGCTGCGGCCCATCAAATGGCAGGCGTAGCCCCAGTGCGGCGCAGCCCGCAGCGTCGAACAAACCCGATTGCCGGGTGATTGGCTTGCATATTTCGGTATGACGAATATCAAATAACGTGTGGTGATGTCCTGTTTCATGACAAGAGTCAACGTAGTTTGCCAAACACCCACAGTAGATGCCATTATTTTACAATAAAACACACTAATATAGCACAAAATTACAATATAAAGGTTTAATTACCTTCAGTCTCCAGTTCAAAGTAAGTAGATTAATGCGACCTAGGTTTCAGCACGACGTTGTGCTATCATCAGGCTTCCAGTTGAAAATGTTAATCGAAAATGTTAACTGGAGACTGAAGGTAATTAAACCATTATATTAGCTATAAACCAGTTCAGGGGCAATTCCACATCTAATAATGTAAAAACTACAAAATTACAGTTAACAAACGTAATGAGTGAGTCAAAATCCACCAGGTATAGTTTCGGAACGAGTAATACAAACGGATTGCACCACAAAACTGCCACTGTCATACACGAAGCACGGACAAAAATACTCCGACCTACACCGGAGTGCGGCTGCACTCAAACCGAATAATTTGGCGGGTGCACACTACACGCACGCAATGTGTTAACCTACCTTATTTTAACTTTTTGTTAGATAGCCTCATCAACTGATATTTCACTGACAAATCTTTATTTAAATAATTCGTTAGATATTTACAGTTTTTCACTTGGCCCTGGTTCACTATACCTTTCTGAGTGTTTGGTTTTTTTCAGTCCACTATGATCGATAACTATTTGAATCATTTATAGCCTCCCTAAAGCCTGTCTGTAAAGCCTCATGTCCGTGAAAACTACAGTATCAGACTTTGTATTGCATGATTGTAAAATGCACAATGACTATGAATATGATACATTGTCTACATCTGGTTGCAGGTTTTCCAGAGTGTAAAGGAAAGTCTTCTGAACAGCTCTGAGCACAGCGACAGTGAGTTGGAACCCATGGAGACCAGTCCCCTTGGTCCCGGAGAAGAGGATGAATCCGGAGCAGGGTACAAGACGGACGACCGCACCTGGGAGAAGTTCAACCGGAACAAGGACAGGAAGTTTGAGGATTACAAGGAACGGCAGAAGAAAGTATTTGAAGAGAAGAAGTCTGTGGTGTACCAGGAATATGTGAGTGTGAAGTTATGTGTGGTTTTGCTACAAGTGTTACTCAGTTTTTCTAAAGAAGTATTTTACAATTTAAAGCTAATTGAACATATGAAAGTGAAAAAGCCACTTTCATAGGTTCACCTATGAAAAAACCTATGAAAGTGAATTTTTGACCTAAGCTTAACGAAGAGTAATTTATTTCATGGTTTAATATTTAATATTTCATTTGATATCGTTAAAACAACAAATTACTTTCAGGAAACATGGTATACCTTATTTACTAGAGCTATAGGCTACTTTATAGACAAATATACTTACTTTATAGACCATCATTAATTTAAATTTATCAATCTAGGCTAACCTACTGTATTAAGATACAAATTAAATACTTCCTAAACTTGATCTATGAATCAAAAAGGGACAAAGGGGGGAAAGTGTTAAATGAAAAAGGGGCAAGATAAAATTTTCTATGAATCATAGATGTAGAAACCTTAACCTAAATTTTAGAAGGCCATTTGTTTACATATAAAATGCATTTTATTTACCTCTCCATATACCTTTTTTAAGCAAATACAGCAATTTCACAACATTTATCTAAGCCATGTTCTTGTTACACCTAGGATGACACAATGGAAGACATTAGAAATGAACTGAGAAGGCAAGAATCAATAGAACGTCAGAGAATCCATGCGGAAGTACAGCAAAGCATGATGAAGTACAGAGAAGAAGTGGAAAAAGAGAAGAATGAGAGAGAAGCTGAGATTAGGTAATATTTTAAAAGACTCTTAATCCAAAACATTTTAATTTAAAAAATAAATATTTTAATACCATCACAAATTACAATTTACAAACTATTTTTTGTAATGAAATCCATACATAGGTAAATAATAAATATCCTATCAATAACGACCAGACCATGTTTTTTTTTTAGTTCAAAATCATCAAATTAAAAATAAATTTCATTATTTTCATCCATAGTTATTTTTTGTTGTTGTAGGAACTTATGCGAAGAGTATCTGAAAGAGCTAGAGGCAATGTTATCAAAAGAGAAGGAATTGAAAATAAAGAAAATGAAAGAAGAACATGAAATGTTTATGAAGGATCAGGAAAAGAAACTAAGTGAGGAAAAGGCACAGTTTGAAGAAGAGAAAATGATCAGGATGCATACAAGTTCATCACAGTAAGTTTACGTTGTAATTTCTTCAAGTTTGATGCATTTTGAGGTTTTGATGGTTTAAACAATACATTTATTCTATTTACAAATTTAAATTACTGTAATTTTTCCAATATAGAGAAAGATCTCCTTTGGAGAGCTTTGTTGCTGACTTTAATCAACTTCTAGATAAGTGAAACCTGTGGTCTAACGTGAGGTCTGAACTACAGAGTTGTGGCATTATCACCTGGCTATTGAACATAGTTGTATTTAGCCACCAACAGGTTGTGCTGGTGTAAATTATTGATTTATTTATAGAATATGCTACGCTAGCTTTTTAGCAAACTGAAATAACAACTTGTTCTTAACTATAACGTCCTTTTTGTCATATAGAATAACAGTAAGAAAAACTAAGGGCAATAACAGAATTTAAGATTGTAGCAGACTCTGGAAACGGCTCATCCAACTGCGTTCTTTTATAGTAAACATTTTGCAGACAGATGCTGGTCCATTAAGATTAAATATCTATTTCAACATTCTGTAATAATTTCATTTGCCCTAATTTCATTTGGTTGCCCATGAAGTGCATGTATTTCGTCTTCTCATCAATTAATTTGTAGGCCCATTTTCTCAGTTTTTTTTTTTTTTTTTTTTTATGAACAGTCTGGTTAGCTCCTTTCTTATTTCATTTCTGTTTTTTTAAACAGGATGACTACATCATCCGCAAAAGCTAGGATGTTTTTTCCCCATTTTCAAGTCTTTATTTGTTTGCCTTACTTATTGGAGGGCAACTTTTAAGGCTATGCTAAATAATATAGGTGACAGTCCATCACCCATTCAATACTCGATGCTCACATAAAATATTGAGCATGTAGTGTTCAAAATGAAAACATAAAATAGAAACTGAACTAATTCATGCTTAGAATCGAGTGGCCAAAAGACAATAACAAGATAAACCAAAGGGTGCGCTGTCTGATGATCTGAGGCGATACCGAGATTGGATTTGGAGCTTTATAATCATAATATTCAATTCAATTCAATTCAAAACTACTTTATTCATTTCCTGTACATAATACATTGAATAGTGTCAACAGTTGCAAGTAGGCCTAATAGTTATTAAATACATTTCTAACATAGTAAAATAAAAACAAAATTTCACAAACTTAATTTTTTTTTTAGTCTAAACAAAAAATACATAAATTGAAATTGTTTTTGACTTCAAAGACTATTCAACTCTTCAAAAGAAAAAATAGCCTTGCTGATGAGAAATCTCTTTAATTTATTTTTAAATATTGTTTTGGAAGTCTCTGATTTAATTTTGATTGGGAGATTATTATAAAATTTTGATCCCGCATACATGGGTTTTTTCTCAAAAAGTTTTAGACTATGGTGGCCAATTGCAAGGTTTTCCCGATTTCTGGTGAAATAGTTATGACTATCCCCAACTCGTTCCAAATCATGAAGTCTGTCCTTTACTGATAAAATTGTTTCATAAACGTACATTCCGTTAATTGTCATTATATTTTCTGATTTAAAATGTTCTTTATTAACAGAAGTTTCAAAATCTAAATTGCAGATAATTCTAATAGCTTTCATTTGCTTTTTTAGAATAGAATTAAAATTGTAATCACTAGTTGCACCATACAGTGAAATCCCAAAAGATATACTTGAGTGGATATATGAAAAATATATAACTTTTAGAGTTTGTTTTTCACATAAGGGTTTCAATCTAGATAAAGCAAATAATCCTGATGTGATTTTGGCAAGTAACTTTTCAACGTGACTGTTCCATTTCAGATTTTTATCAATTACCAATCCCAAGAATTTCATGTTGTCCATACTTAGAATTTCTGTGTTCTTGAGTCTGATGATTGGTTTATTTTGATCCCCTAATTCTCGAGTTTGAAAATTAATGAAATTTGTCTTATCTGGATTAAGAAGCAAATTATTAGAATTAAAAAAAATATTTAAAACTGCTAATATAGTTAACTGTGAGATTTTTTTGTAAAACTAATGTTCTTTTATTTTTCTAGGCTGGAAAAAATTGTTGCCGAACTCAAAGAAAAAGAAGATCAAGAAATTGCTCGGCTAAAAGAACAAAGTGAGAAAAAACTTGAAGCAGTCCGCAAACAAGTAGAAGAGGAACAGGCGGAACAGGAAAAAAGGCATAAACAAGTAAGAGTCAAAGTTTTTAGCATGTGAAGTGTTTTTAGAATTGAAAGTCAAAGTGTTTGTCAAAGTGTTTTTAGAATTGAAAACTTGTTACTCTACGAAGGATGCCCAATGCTGAGAGGCTTCAACCATTCCATTATTTGCTCCCGATCTTTTTAAATTTGTCTGAGGCCCTTATGTCTTAGTCGCGGGGTAAATGGAATGGATGGGTGTCCCTTTGTCTTATAGTGAATTTTATTGTTACAACACAGTAGACTCCCACTTATCCGGACTCCTCGGGACCGAGGCCAATCCGGATAACAGTTTTTCCTGTTAAACCGATGTCCCCAAAAACTCGTTAAAACGGACCGTTTACTGTGATATTTGAAATAAATTTAGGGGAGCATTGTATTTAGACACGTGATCACTGGTCTCAAATCTTTACCAAGAGAAGAGTCGTTTCAGTACCGCCCACTTCCTGCCGATCTAGTCCGGTTAAACCAATGTGCTGATAAAAATTGTCCGGTTAAAGAGATGTCATTTCTGCCGATTGTAATCCGGTTAAACCAATGTCCGGTTAAAAGGTGTCCGGATAAGAGGGAATCTACTGTAGTGGTATATTTGTTTTGGTCAGTCAATTTTTTTGTTAAAGTATGTAATGATTCCTTCAGAACGGAAACGGTTAGTGGTTTCTAAGTAGGTAAATTTAATGTTTTTGAATAGGTTTGACAATAATAAAAATTATTTTTATTAATTTCCATGTTGCTTGACCTATCCGCTTGTGAGATGTTGCCACGTCGCCACGTCCATGGATAATCAAGACGCTACTGTAGTCTTAACCTTTGCAGGAGCTGGCCATTGTGGAAGCTGAGTACGAGAGAGTTCTGGGAGACAAGCAGAGAGCGAAGGAACAACTTAAGGCCCAGCAGGAGGCTGAGATAGCAGCCACCAAGGCACAGCACCAGGCAGCACTGGACCTGCTGGCGGAGCAGCACACTGTAATGGTGCGTCAGCTGGAGGACCAGGCCAGAGAAGAGGTAAGATAAAACATTCAAGACGCCGGTCATATGTTTTGGAAGTTCTTTTTTGTGGATGGTGGATACTAAGTATTTGAGGGGTTGTTGCGGACATTTTCTATCACGATTAGTAAAAGACAAGTTTTCAGATTTTTTGGGACCTGGAATCTGTTCCCATCCTCAGCTGAGAAAGAACTTAAGACATAACAAGATTAGTAAACAAACTCAGCTGAATCTGTACAATCACATAGAATAACTTCACAGAAAACTGTATAGTAAATCAGAGCAATGTACGAAAATGAAACGTGTAACAGTACAATAGGTTAGTTGTCACAAAGTTGGGTAGGAGCGAATCAGCACGTCTTCACAAGTTGGTGGCTCAAGCGAGACCACCATCTTCTTTCTGTGTGGTTATTTGTGATTTTCCAGCTTTTTGTTTTGACGACTGAAACCACAGAAATCTAAACATAGAACTTGACTTTGAATCGGCAGGAGTTCGTTTGACAAAATTTTTGAATAGTGTGACGAGACTAATCTTACTTTAAGGGCGGGAATCGGCTAGAATAGTAGTGGAAGGAACACAACATTTATCTCAGATTCAAACGATTAGCTGGCTGCGATGGACGCTTGATGGAGACAATAATTTACAAAAACACTCGTAAAAAGTATCGAGACATTTGATTTCTAGTGTGGAGGAGGACTTCATAGGTGGGAGCCTCAATAATTGGGTTCATAAACATTGGGACTCGTCTGTAGTAATTTTTTAGCTTTACTTGGGCAGTTGTCTGTTTAGTAGGCCTAGGGGTTATAAATATGGCTAGTCATAATATTTAATTAACAGCTTGTCGGGCACAATGGAGTATTTAATAAATCTCCCCATTCTCTTCTAATAAAAGCAGGCCAGAAGTCAACATAGTTATATTGAAAGTACCAGTCCAGTGTAAAGTTTTAATAATTGTAGTTGTGTTTTTGAGAAATGAAATTAGTAAAATCAATACAAGAAATTGCCTAACATAATACAAGATTTTAAAATTGAAATTGAATTTCTTATATAAATTATTATTATTTTTGCAGGAAGAATTCATGAGGAGAAAACATTGTGAAAAAATGGAAACGTTGAATGCCCAGCTTAGTCGTACGTCTGAAAAAGAGGATGTCACACAGCTAAACAGGTGAGTGTAACTTTTATTTCAATTATTTAACAAACGTTAATAAGCATTTAGTAACATAGCAAACTAATATAAAAAGAGTTGCTCCTACTCTTTAACAACATTTTACAACATAAATTAGGACAAGAGTGTATAATTTCAGTAATTTAAAACAGCACATTCTGGACAATAATTCACGAGCTATAATTTTATAATAAGTTTGTTGTGCTTAAATCATAGGCTACTATAGTTAACAAAACATAATTTAATCAATCTTATTACTGAAAGTTTTCAGATAAACTGTAATTTTTAAGATTCATTAATTACAGGTATGTCCATTTACATGATGCTATTGTAGTATACTTTTTTTATTGTGTTATTGCTTTACATAATAATATTTTTCAATTTGCAGAGAGTTTGAAAAGGTTCGATGTGAAAAGAGACTTTTGGAGGACAAGTATAAATCCCTCAAGGAAAAATATGTTCGACTCAAAAGCGAGGTAAGGGTAAAGATATATTATTATTATTATATCAGACTTAGATACGAGTTTGCCAAAAACAAAAACTAATCGATGTTTTAAATAAACCTGTTCTATTTATTTTGGGGAGATCTGGGGCTCAGGTGAGAAACACACAAATGTAGTTAGTCTTTTGGGAGATAACTATGTTTCCTAACTACCCAATGTGAAAAACTTGCTTTTGGTTCACACTGTTCCCAACAAATACTGGACATATTATGAAACTAAATAAGATATATTAAGTGTTAAAATAAGAAGATAAACACATTAGAATTAATGAACCATTTATCAATCCATAAATAATGTTGGCAGGTTCGTCTGTCAATGGAAAGGAAACGTCAGGCTAAGTTGAACCGACAGCTGCAACACCAGCGAGATCCTGCGTCCACTACGGAGGATACCTCAGCTGACCATGGAAAACCTCCACTGGCTCGCAGGTAACAAAAACATTCATGCAACTGTAGGACTAGCTGCTCTGAAATAATTTTGTTATAGTAGTTTAAGCAACCATAGCGTAAAGATAGTGTCAACGATTCTAATTGAAGTTCAAAGCATTACAATTTTACTTCTTTTCTCTCAAACCTTGAACCACAGTGGTCCGTTACCCGTGTTGTTTAGGAAAAACAATGCTGTTAAGTAAGTAAACAATGCTGTTAAGAGAATCTTCTCAACTCTTAGAACTGATTAGAAATGGCTAGTTAAAAAAAACGGTCGTTGGTTAAAATAGTTAAAAGCTAACATTATAGTAGATACAGTGGTACTTAGAGTAAAACTAAGAAGTTGTGTGTGGTTGTTTCAACAGTTTTTGTTCTACTGTATTTCTGTCCTTGCTCTGTATGACCACATTTGTGTACAAGAACCTACCTGTTTTTTTTACTATGGGCCAGAGCTGAAATCTAGAAACAAAAATTAAAAATTATACAACATTTAATCTATAACAAATTTAATATTTTAAAGTTGGACTAATAATCTTTTTTGGTGCTAATTTTCTGTTTGAAATCTAGTTAAGAAATCTAATCTGTTCCCCAGGAAACTTGTGCCTGCGTTTTCGTCAGATGAGGGAACAGGTGACAATGCAAACGGAACGCCCAAAACAATCAAACGACGACCCAAGCTGACAGCGTCGATGACGACCTCGTCAGCGGCAGAACAGTCGTCCAGCTCTGCACCGCCTCAGCGGCCAAAAAACGTATGGAATCCTTCCCCCCGACAGAGGAGGGAAGGAGTTTCATCGGCTGAGGACAATCACACTTCGGTCTCGGAAGAGATACAATGTGAGTCCAACATTTGTGTTGTGATATTTGCAGCATTTATTCTGAAACGTAATTCCAGTTGTCAAAGATTAGCAGTGATCTGATTTGCCCTAAAGTCTGAGTGAACTATGTATGTTAAAAAAGAAAATCGTTGAACTATACAGTCGAACCTCTTTAATCCAAACCCTTGTAATCCGAACATCCACTAATCCAAACGCCTCATTACAGTACTCTATACACAGTACAGTAGTTCTTTATTGTATACTGTATTTATTGATGTACGCACCGTAATTATTTCAATTGTAATGTACAGTACTGTTTATTCCCTATGTTTACTACTGTATTAAATAAACACTTTATTTTACTTTATAAAGGCATTTTTCACTTTTCCCTACCTATTGTTATGTAAAAACAATATGTTCTGTAATCCGAACTATTAAATAGTCCGAACTACCCCCGGTCCCAATTAGTTCGGTTTAAAGAGGTTCTACTTTATTTAAATTTAGATGTAGAATCATAGATAGTCAAAATATGCAACAGAATATAAGATGTTTAATTTCTGGGACTGGCTTCCTAGTTTCATTTAAGAACATCTTACGATCACCAAAAAGTAATCATTAGAGCCGTCCTAGCAGGGCCGGGGATAGTAGCTAGTAAGGGCTAGACCACTCCGCCGGTGTACCTGCATCCCGCTCGATTCACCCTGTGACGTCACGTGGTTGTCAGCCGTGCCTGTGCTGTAGTATGATGGCAATGCTCTGCAGCGCGCGCGCCCTGTTTCGAATTAAAATTCCCGCTAAATTTAAAGACCTATTTTGTTAACCTCTGGCATTCTTAAAAGGAAATTAAATTGTCTATGGAATGGTGTAACTTGTCCATATGAATATTATTATTTACTATTTATTATTGAAGATCAAAGTACGAAGAACTGACCTAGACTTTGAACATATGGTTACTTTAATTATGTTTTTGAAAAGAATATGAAATATTTAACTCAAATTAACATCTGTAACTCAAATTAAATAAATAAATAAAGTATCTTAACTTGAATATCACAATATGTCTTAATAAGCAGTAGTTAAGGGATCGACTTCCATGACGTGATCACACTAAGGAAACTCCCAATAACTCATCAGGTATGCCAACAAAAACATGTAAAAAAAACATCTGCAAATTGTCTCAAGTTACCCCGTTTTACGGTACTTGTTTTTTACAGTTTTTGTTCAAAACTCATACTTTGTAAACACCTACAATTTCAATCGTGCTCTTTAGCTTTTTAGAGCTGCAAGATATTCTTACGTTTTATGCTAGCTAAAACTTTATTTTTTCGTCTAGCTAATTTCAGTTGCGATTTTAAGATTACTACTTCAGTTTGTAGTTTTTCATTTATTTCTGTTTTAATTGTACGTGCTTTGCAATTGATCACATCGGGTATTCCATCGCGATTCATCTCTGTGCCAGTGCCACATTCTCCGGGATTTTACAAACAATAATTTCATAGGAAACAGATGAAAATCATAAAAAAACTATCAGTCAGTCACATATTATTTGACTTCAGAACACTTCTAACCACAGCTAACATTAAAACTGAACTACATACTTAGCACATTGAATGTAAACAAACAAGGGGTTCATTGCAGAATCGCTGGGCGAGGCAACCACGTGACGTCACGCGGCCGCCGACCCCCCCACTACCTGGCGCAGCGGCTTCTGCCAAACATCAAAAGAGTGGTCTAGCCCTTACTAGCTACTATCCCCGGCCCTGCGTCCTAGAACCTTGGAAATCCAAGAATTGTACATGAATTTTGATGGCTGGGAAAATGTCTGTGAATTCTACCAGAGTTTTGTATAGAACAGGGAAATTTTGGATTTTGGATAATCACCGATCCAACAAAATACAACCTTTTATGCATAATTGAGCTCTAGAATCATTGTAAAAATTGCACCAGTTGTATTCTTCTTGTGCATAACTTGTACAAAAAGAATAAAGATGATTTTATTAGATTAATGTAGAAGCAAAAGTATTGTAGGATTCAGAGGGTAACATAGTAAAGAAATATGACTCATTATATTTTCAATTGTGATGTCTGTTGGATTAGTGGAGCAGGATGACTGTGCAGACGACAAGTGGGTACAGTCTGCGTTGAGTCCGCTGGAGAATCTGCGTAAACAGCTGGAGAAGCTGGATGACCTTGAGGAGCAGTTCCCTACCTCTGTACACACGGACACGTACCTGCGATACCCCTTCTCTGGCCCAGGTAAACCACCATACTGTAAACAAGGAAAATTTTGGAAAAATTACTAGTAGATATTTTTATAGGATGGCTGAAGGAGATTCCTTTGTTAATGATCCTTTTGAAATAGACGTTTTTTCTGTATGTGTGTGTTATAGTACTGGGCGACTTACTTAAAATCGACTATAGACCTATTTGAATTTCAACCAAATATTTATTTAATCCACAGTTATTGTATAATTCAGTACTTTTTTCACAGCCCTGGTCTAGTACCTACAGAGAAAGAATTCTGAATTGGTGGCCCAGTTTCAAATCTCACCAATTGCTTTTTTTAGATTCCACATAAAGCTGTTCATCTTAAGAACATGTTGGACTACTTATCTATAAAACTAAAAAATTGTTTCTCAGGTAATGAGAAGTTACATTGTATCAGTGACCGACTGATTGTTGTAGCGGGTGGTAGCTGTGAGCTGGATTTTTACCGTCATCGTCTGCACCTGGAGCGGGAGGCGGTGAGGAGAGCCAAGCAAGCCTTGGCGGAGCAGCGACTCAACATTGAGGCCCGACAACTACAACTGCGTCATCGGCAACACTCACAGACACTTAACACATTTCATCAGGTACTGTAGTAGCTCCATTGGGGGTTGATGCTTGAATCATATATTTATTTCACCAATCCTTTGAACCTCAAAGGCCGATGTATCAACCATAAAGCGTAACCTACAACTATCCGACTAATAGCTGTATCTGACAAGAGCTGTAGACATACTTTTTTACATTTTAGTTTTGATGGAAGTTGTATATTTACTTTATACACTCCATTAATGTTCTCAACTTTAATATTTAGCAAAATCATACATTTCATGCAAGTTCTCTTTCTATTCCAGGAAGAACGGGACCTTACGGATATGGAAGTTAGTCTGCATCGTACAAGAGCCTTGCTAGGGGAGAAAATTATTCGTCTTAGGTGAGTAAGCTATCTCCAAACATGGCCGTAATAAGTAATATCAAAAAATGCTATTTTTATTCAATACAATCTTAAACATTCTCCCATCAATTATGATTTTTGTAGTTTCTGCTTGCAATATGCTTGTTGCATCATCTACCCCAGGAGTCTCCAAACTATCAAGAGGTTTTGTACGGCCCGCGTTGGCATGAGCGATGTGTGATAAAATTATGATCGTAGCTGTAGCTGAACCAAGATGAAGTGCCTGGTGGCCATTTCTGGCTGTGGTGAGTTATCGCCGCGCCACACCGGTTGCCGGTTGTCACTGTTGTCTGTACACTGTGAGGTTAGGTATTCACTGTCATTTGGTGTTTGTAGTTTGTTTTGTTTTACTAAGCTTTCAGACTTTGGTATAAACCAACAGGAAAATGACAACTCAAAATTACACCAACCCAAAACAGATTACAAGAGATTAAACTTTTTCCTTGTCAGATTGCACTAAATGTCGACTTTGCAAGTCTAATTTTGGAAAATTCGCGACCCCCTGACACCCCCCCCCCCACGGGTTTTTGTGGTCCGGTTGGCCTGCAAGGTATTTAAATCTTGTTTTTTTGTGCAAGCGTTTGGAGACCCCTCATTTACCCTAATCTGTTTTCCCTGCTTGTCTTCTAGCAAAGTGATATCCTCTATATGCCTTTTCATGGGAGTATATGTAGGAGCTTATATAGGAAGTTTCACACGGGTTCCAAAAAACTATGCCTCTTCACTATTCACTTCTTATATTTTTCAGGCTTCCTTCTTTAAGCATCGCAAACCTACCCTGTAGGGTTTGACCAGGAAAAATAATAAATAAATAAGTTGCCCTGTCTAAGACCCTTTTACTGCTACAGACACTCAAGTGTCTCTCTAGGACCTAGATTTATAAAGCGTGACCCACAACTATCCGACTAATAGCTGTATCTGACAAGAGCTGTAGACAAACTTTTATATGTATGGGTCATCCCATTTGCTCGACCCATCCCTATACTAAATTCTTCATTCATAGTCTACAATTCTTATGGGAGATAGTTGTGCTAGGATCGTTACAGGAAACAACTTTCTTATTGTCATGTGGGTGCATCAACTCTCTTCAAAACCCTTGTGAAAATACTTAAATTAATTGACTTATTTCTGTTCATTTTACCTTATACTTTTAAAATATAACTCAATAACATTACCTATATGATTTATGATTTTGTTTCAGTAAAAATTAGTATTGTAGTAAAAAACGTAAGAATAAAGTAAAATACAGGAGCGGTATGCTAGTATTCGTCACAGGTGTTGCAAAGACTTTTGTTTGAAATATGTGGTTAGTGAATGGCGAAGCTAGTTCCATGCAAAACGAAGGTGCAATGGAATATTGTGTTGTCAAATCTGCTGTGTTCTTTTATATGTGTTTGTGTTACCCTTGACTATTGATACAACTAGAGATTCCATTTCGATGTTAAAGTTGTCACCAGTTTTTTTTTTTCATCAAAATCGTCGTAGTTGATATGATCTACCAACAGATTGTGCTGATGTAAATTACTTATTTATGTCGAATAAACACCCTTTTTCACGAAGTCAAACTGATGGAACAACTTAATGTGAGCTATAGAAACTGTTATGACCCATAAAATATGTCAGCAAGAAATTTTATTCTAGAAACTAGCGCATTCTGTGTCTGAATCACACAACTACGTTCTTTTTTGATAAAAATTCGGTGACAGCTGGTCCATACAGATGGTATGTCTACTTTAGTAGTCAATAGTGTTACTGATAGATATATATCTTAGCTCTCTTTACCATCACTGATTGATGAGCTCGTCTTGGCAGGTACCTAGAACAGAGTATAGACAGAGCTGCTGCTTTCACACCTCACCACTCCCACTCTCACGACTCCACCACTGCTACCAACACAGACTCTTCTGGGTTCAGCGGCAGCGACTTGGACCTGTCCAATGGTCAGTATTTGCATCAACTTTTTTGGGAATTTTTTTTCTTATCTTAAGGTCAAGTTTGCCGTTTGAACTTATTTTTCTTTAGATGCATATAATAAATTTAAGGAATGTTTCATCAGCAGGTCATGTAGGAGTTGCGAGGTCAGAGGTTTATTGGACAGAAAACGTGCTTCAGAGTTTGGAAAACATCAATAGCGAAATACGAGAGATCTGGACTATTTTAGGAAAACAACAAGTTCCAGGTAATATTGTTTGTCAGTTGTATTTAGTTGACACAAGATGCAGTTTAAAAAGAGCTATAACAGGACTGTCAGCTATAGAAATATTCTTTCAATAACATTAAATCCTTTGGTAATATAAATTTTGTTTAGAGAGAGAGAGATTTAACCGGCTAATAAAAATGTACCATTCTCTTGAGGGGTTGCATTGAAGGTTCTATTTACATATCAACATCTAGTTGAATTAAACAGCACGTTTTTCTGCGGTATGACAAGTGAGGTTTGTCTTTTCTTTTCCTTGTCATAACGTGGAAACTAGGTATGGACGAGATTGGATTTTTAGTTCGAGACGAGACGAGACGAGATTTTTTATTTCTCATAAAATTTCGAGACGAGATCGAGACGGGATTTCCCTTCTCATACACAACGGGAAATGCACGTTCAAAATTTTTACCTGATTTTGTAACATTGTTAGATGACTGTTTAAATACAAAAATAATGATAATAGGCAAGAATATTTACAATCTTTTATTAAAAAACATCAGCATAACATTTTTTTATTAATCACGCCTAACTTATTAAAAATGCCTACGATTAGGACACATAGTGATATCAGTTAGGATAGAGTTCAACTTATCCCAAAATAAAATAAATCATAAAATAAAAGCAATATTAATTTTTATAAAATAGTTACTTGTTTTGACTTTTTATAGTAATAAAACATTCCTTACACTGCTTACACTTAACAAAACTTCTCAAATGTTATTAAAGTAATATTATTCAAATAAAAAGTAATATTTACATTTAAAGAATTAATTAAATAAGAACGCCTTCGCAAAGGAAACGCAACTACAACACGCTCCTGTATTGCGGGTATTGCATTGACTTTCTGCAGGCGTTTTTAATTTTTTTTTTTTTTTTTTTTTATTCTCGTCTCGATAAAAATCTCTGCCAAAAAGGAATCTCGTCTCGTGTAACGAGATATAAAATTTCCCGAAAATTTCCCGAAATTTCGAGACTTGACCATCCCTAGTGGAAACCCCTATTAATAGAATATTATAAATATTCCTATACTAAATCTAGTAGAAACAAAACCCATAAAGTACTTACTGAAACTTAGAGGTTTTTTTGGAAATAAAATGAGTTCAGCTAGCTTACCTGAGAAAATATAGTCAAGGGCAGTGTCAGATCCAGAGGGGTGGCGAAGGGGGTGACCGCCCCCCCCCCTCGGGCATACATATACATATATTTTTTTTTACTGCATGTAATATAGTAGTGCATACACATTGTGTAAAATAATTTGTCACACTAACTTTGGACAAAGAAATGGAATAAAACTGCCATTTTGGAGACTTGGTTTACACAATTTTTTTGGGGAGGGGCACCCCCTAACACCCCAGACCCCCTGGTTCGCCCCCTCCCCCTTGTGACTGTTCTAGATCTGCCACTGGTCAAGGGGCTACTAGATAGATTTAATAAAACAACGCAAAACATGAAACTGATCTTTCATCTTGGAGTAGGACTTCTGAGACATTTAAGAGAAAATACTCACCACTATTCCTTTCCAAAAAATTACTAGACAAATTGGCTTTCCTTAAAAATATCACTTAAACCAGATTGATTGATGATGTGCGCAGGACTTGGACCCCCACCAGTGTTGAACTGTGAGAGTCGAGCCATCGCGGGGACTGACACTTACGCTCCACAGAGAGCTACGGACATTGCCGACCGCACTCGGAAGCTTAAAGAATGGCTCGTCAGGTAAGCTACAGGGTAAAATCACACCGGTTATCAAAACAATAATGTAAATGGAAATGTTAATAACTGGACTACCTGTGCGTGTGATGGGGACTGGGAAGTTAACATCATTATTTGTGTTGTGTCAATACCAAAATTTATTGGTTTTTGATACCAATATCTAAAAAAATAATTAATTCTCGGTTAGTGATGTGGCAGGGTAAATACCCAGTGGGTAGAGTATTTATAAATGGGATTTTACCCAGGTATTTACCCCAGGCCGGGTAAATACCCCAAAGTGTAAGTATTTCTAAAAAGTATAAACACTAGTAACGTTTTGCATAGTTCATTGGTTTTGTCATGTCAAAATAAGTAAAAAAATATGATAATTTGTTAGGCGGTATTGTTTATATTGTGAACTAAAAAGCGTGAGTTTTTCGATGAGTGATCTTCGCAGATGTGATCTGCGATCCCCATAACACTCAGGTATCGGTATCGGCACTGACTCTTGATGATTGATTTTCAATACTAATGTCCAAGAATTGGTGGTATCCAGAATTGTTTCATCAAGAATCTACACATGGCTTATCATTATAGAGGGTGACACAGTGAAATGGCACGATTCTGACACCAGGTGACGAGGAATTGGGGGCTAGTTGAGTATGGGAGAAATGACCTCGGGCGTCTATACAAGTGAAAATTTCAATAGCCACAGAGCATTGGACGAGTGCATGACGTGCGTTTGCTGTAGGCATATTATGATTAAGTGATTTGTGCTTAGCACACTTTCCATTGTGAGTTCAGTTATCACCACGAGTTCTGGTGCCATAAAGTAAAGCTATCCTCCTTTGGGTGAATAACTTTGAAGCCACTGCTAGCATGACAAAGCGCTAATAAATTATTCCAGACACTTTGCAAACACTTAAAAACGTCATGGCTGCATTTCATCACAGAATTCAACAATGTGTGCAAAACCAAGGAATTAAAAAAAAAATTTAAGGTGAAACATTAATTTTTACTCATGTACTTAAGAATTATGTTAAAACAACTATCCTTTTTTTCTAAATGAATCTTTTGTGATTTTTCAAAATCGTGCCGTTTTACTGCCTCACCCTGTATAATTTAATGCTGCATATATTTACTTAGTGAAGGATGGAAAGAAACACATTTTGGAGCTTTGTTAGTCAAGAAAACTATCTGTTTTGTGAGCCAGGATAATATATATTAAACCCAATAACAATAACCAAGGAGAGTTTGGTCTGGTTTTAAACTATGAAAAAGCAATTAGCATTTCTCAGTATTTGACAGGCTACCTTCTGGTCACCAGACAAGCATATTAAAACATACAACCTGAACAGATGTCTTAACTTGATGTATCCAAACGAAAAATAAGTCTACTATAACTTTTCTGGCTAAGTTTTGGCTAGCAAAATTTAGCTAACTTATTTGACTAAACTTAATGTGTTTTACAGAACCCGAGAGCAACAGACATACATGGTGGCTCCAGTTAATTTATAAATCTTTAACCTGATCAGCTGTTCCTGTTGTCACTAGTCTCCTCGGTGTGATAAGATAACAATCCCTCCTATACGAGAACCAAAGATCCTCTTAGCAATAATTTGCTTTATCTCCGTCTACACATCGTATATCATGTTAACTTCGAATCGTATAAATTATTTTTACTATTCGCCACGCACAGAGTTTTGAATCTCTAGTCACTTATTTCCGATATATTAGTTGTAGAAATACGATGTTTGCTGTGATATTTGTGTTGCACACATTTTACTTGTATGCACCAAAGTTTATTTTTATATTTGTCCGATGTAGTGTTACGTTGCACAAATTTTAAACGTCGTTAAGCAAATATATACATTCCACAATCGTTTGCTGTGATATTTTATGTTGCACAATTAGTTTGTATTTGTAACGTTTATTAGTTGTAAGTCGCGCTTTATTTATTTTTATATTGGTTTTTAGCATTTTTTTTTGGTCTTTTTAAATGTGTTATTGATTCTATATTTTCATACAATGGATTTATTTCAGACACTTGTAAAATGCAAATCAGCTTGAATTAAATTTTAACTATTAAAATCCATGTTTTAGCCCCTGAGCTGTATAATAACTAAAATAGGCTTTACATTCGTCACTCCAGTTCAAATACTGGTGTATGGCATTGTAATGCCGAAACAACCGTAATGTAGTTACACCAGTATTTGAGCTGCAGTGACGAAGGTAAAGCCTATTTTAGTTTTAAATTTTAACATTGATCTTCCAACATTATGACTGAATTTTTAATCTTTCAAAATTTTGTAAACATATTAATTATAAAGATTGCCATGAAAATTGGTACTTTTATTAATGATAAAAGCTTCATTAGTAATTTAGTGCTCGTTCATTTGAATTAATGGTCAGAACGACCATGTGTGTTCTTATAAAGTATTCTGGCTTCTTAAAAAAGCAATTTTTAAGTTTTCTTTGGTAGAATATCTTATGAATCTTAAATGAAATAGTATCACTTTTATTTTGTTATTTTTTTGTCTAGTTACAATGTTAAAATTAATTTGCTTTAAATTTTACTTTAAATTTAAAGTTAACGTTATGTAATGTAGAAATATTAGAGCTTTAGTTCTCAAAAGATCCCATCAAAACTGTATGAGAAAATTCTGGTTTAATTCTGTTTTTAAAATCTAACCTTACAGTTCTGTGTACTTTACATGGCCACTAATGAATATCAATATTTATTATCTGACCTACTGAAAAATGATCCTTTGTCCTTTGACAAAAGTTAAGCTAAAACAGCAAAACAAAATGCAGTACGATATCAAATGCAGTATGGCCTCAAACATTTATATGAAATGCAAAGTGTAGGACATTTATTTTTAACCAAAGAAAGTTGCAAACAGTAAGATTTCAATGGATATTGTGTATGAAATTTTAGTTTTAGAGGTTAAAATAATAAACATCACAAAAGTTGTAATAATTTTTTAACTGAAAAATTGACAGCGTTTGGAGTTATGCCATTTTGTTGAAGGTTAATAAAACATCTATAACATAACAAATTTTAATCAAAATCATTAGAGTCGTTTTTGTGAAAGTCAGATTTTACCATTTTAATTATTGGTTTTATAGGAACATTTCTAAAGTAAAAATGTCAAAACAAAACCAAAGAAAAGCCTGGATATACCATGTATTAGTACCCTCATTCCAAATTTCATCAAAATCAACCCAAGGTTTTAGGTTTACAAACTGAGGTTTCAATTAGTGAGGTTAGTGGGGGTGGTGAGGTGATAACATATTTGCATCTAGTTTTTGTATTACAAACTAAATGGGTTTAAACCTCTTATAACAATTAATAACATTTTCAATTCACTATGAGAAAAATTGTCTATAGATAAATACATTAAACCAAAGTATTTTGTAACTAAAGCCAAACAAGTCGTCTTTGGGAAGACAAAGAGGTGTAAGCACATAGTCTTATCATATTTACTTCGTAAAATCTATGTAACATAAAACCAATTTTACAATTTCTTATCCTCAACTTTTAGTAACCTTAAAAATTAAATTAAATTAAAATATAGCCTACATCAGTTAATAAACGCAGGGGATAATTTTTCAAATCTTTTACGTACCTTAATAACCTTAAGATGTAATAAATCGCTTTAAACTGATTAAAAGTCTGTTATAAGGTGCTAGCTGTTATAGTTCTATTAATGTATAATGAGTGATGTGAATAAATCAAAGCAAAACGTTTAGTTGCAAAATGAAATTGTTGTAATTTATTCACATTACCATGGCCTTTTCTGATAAAAGGCCGTAGCAAGATAAGCGACCGAATCAGCTGTTACTCTAATTCATAATGAACTGCCTGCGCAATGTTTATGTTTACGTGTTCATTACTGTTGTTACCATGGCAATAGGTCGGGCGGTGCAACATTGCCACACACCAACACAGCCTTTTATTAGAGGAGGCTATGGAATAACTCATTAATTTAGGTGTAAACTGCCTTTTAAAGAAATTTAGAAAGTGTTATACTTAAAATTTACTTATATTAGTAAACTAATTTTCTTCCTCATGTTTTCTACCTCTCCTAGTTAACTCGAATGCAATAATTTACTCTTTTCTATTATCGAGGACATTTTTTCTTGTTACAGAAATACGTAATTTTTCTAGAACTTGGTCTTCCCATTTCTTGCACACCCTATACATTGTTTTAGACTCAGATGTTTAAATAGATTTAAAACATTGTTGTGTACTTGAAATTGTAACTAGTATATGCTGAGAGAATGAGTAGCTGGCCTCACAAAACTGCAGATTACATTTTGGAATGGTTTTCATTATAATGATTTATGTTCAAAAATTTAAAAAGTACCGACTTTTAAGCCACTGCAGACATCATTACTAATTGAGATGGCAACACTACTGAGCGTATTTAAACTTAAATAAGACTAAAGGATGAGAGTAGAATACAGTTAGATGCCTTGCGTATCTTTGTTACTGACTAAGATCAGCTGTTTTATTAGCTAGTACAATTTATTAAAATCCTAATGGTAAAGAACATATGGGTTCAGGATCGAACCAGCAATCTTTTGATTGAAGGCGAGCTCTTTAACGTTTCTGGTGCCCAGCTGTCTTTTTTAAGTACTGTATCACCATTATTAATAGAACATTACATGCTTCCTATAACCAAACAATCAAATATAAACATTTTGTTTTGTTGTCATGAAGGCAAATTAATATTTCTCTAAACCTCGCCTCTCGATTCTTCAAGCCTGGAAAATAGGCTTAAGTATGCCTAAAGTCGTTTCTAGACCAAAGTTAAAAAGGTGTTTCAAAGCAATGTTCACAACAACAAAATTGCACCCTACTTTCTTGCAAGTTTTGCCCAACTATGGAAAGTACCTTTATTCTAGTCAAAGAAAATTGATTGTTGTTTGCTGCTAGTTCTGTTATCCATATCTTCATCAACTTTGAGAGATGTAGCACTAAAGCTGTGTTCAAGCCAGAGTTTTCAACTTGTCTTTCAAACAAAGGTTTACAACAATTAAAAGAACAATTAATTTTTATTGAAAACATTTTGAGTAGAAATTCTGAACAAAAAGTTAGCACATGTTTTAACCAAGGTTACACTGGACGTTACAAAACAATCTTAACACTGTTTTAAACTTTTGTGAAAACATAACTTTAGGAAACATCATTAAAGCCCAAATGTCCAACCATTATTGTGCTTTTATTTCCTAAGAAATTTAAACAGCAGTTTTGTGGCGCCAAGGAATAGGCCTAGTTTCATCTATAGTAATTTTCCAATGTTTATAGGATATAGTTAACTACTGTAGAATTGTTCTTACTTTGTGCATGCTTCACTATATTATTGTATGGGGTAGGTGTGCACAAAGTAATAACATTTACACTAGAAGGACTTGTGAATCCAAGAACAACTCCTGTGTCTTAAAGAACTGCTTAGCAGTTTTGCTACAATTATGTGTCTCCTAGTCTTTGATTGATTAAATCAATTGGAACCTACTTTTGTTGTGTTGTTACCCCTTGATTAATTCCTGGCTAAGTATAAATAACCAAAGACTTTGGATAGGGCAAATACATTTCTCATCCTATTTTAAAATATGAGACTGTCGATGTTTGTTACATGTCCGGTTACGCTTGAAGGTAGATTTTACTGCATTTACTTTTACACTTTGGTTATAATACCAGAGGATCAGCAAAATCAAGTTAGTGAATTAATAATTAGTAAACATGAAAACCCATTCTACCTGAGGGAAATTAAAAATGTGTTAAGCTGATCTATGGGTTGACAGATCTGTTAACGAGTAATGATGATTGAAATAACTTACACGGGCAACTACACAAGGTAATGTTTTTGATCTTTTCAAATGATCTTATTCTTCTTTTGAAAATGTAATTTAAACCACTAATTAATTTTCTAGTAAGACAAAATATGTAGGTTTAATTTTTCTTGCCCTCCAACGTTTGTAATCTATTTGATCTTAGTTGTTGTATCAATCCTGAAGAAAAAATGAAAAAAATAATTTTGTATTCAAAGAAGATCAAATAAGTTCTCAATCTACAACTTTATAATTATGTTTCCTACCACATGTCTGTTAAAAGAGGAAATGAAAATGAAAATATCGCAAGTGTAGTATACACATATTTATTCACACTTATAAAAAATATTTACAATATTCAACATAAATAAATAACTAATGCGATCGATAATCAGAAACACTAGGTCTAAGTTAAATATAGTAATTGAGTAAAGAGGCAAGATGCGAAAGAAATGCGAGTGAAAGCTATATAAATAACACCTCAAATGGATAACATAAAAATAAATGACTATCACAAGTTGTTAAGTACCTTAAATCATAAATGCACTTACAAGAATCATTCTTTCAGTTTAAGATAGATATGTAATCAGCAGGATACCCTCTTTATCAGATTAAAGCTTCATGTTAAAACTACGAGGAGTTCATCCTGTTTACACATCCACGTCTACTTATTGAACAACTTTTACAATTTTAAACCCAGTAAACCTCCCTGTTTGTCAGAGTGCAAAAGATGTTTTACAGTCAACATGTTTAAAATATGGTACAAACAATTGAGGAATACGTCAACATTGATATAATTTAGAAATCTGAAATACCAACCGGTTTTCCCAACCCCTCCACCTCCTGAGAAGTTTTGAACATTTAAAAAAAGGTTTTACAGATTCTGGATAAAAGATAAAAATCACTCAAAAGAGAGGTTTAACAGTCTTCACTTAGAGGCTGTTATCAGTTCAGCTTAATGCCCTATGGTGTTGAGCTTGTAGAAGATCTAAATCATCTTTTTGAACAAGTCCCGTCTATGTCTGTCCGTTTTCTTGTCCATCTCTCTCACAACGTTTTCCATCCGCTTCTGAACATCGTCCAAGTATCGGGCGACCGCATGAGTGGTCGACCTTAGCAATTCAAGGCCCATTCTCAGCTTCATCTCTGCGATTCTCCTCAAAAAGCCAAAAAACGTGTGTTCCCGGGAAGGAGGGAGTTTTGTCGTGGATTCGGTTTCCTTCGGCATACTCCAAGTTGTGCTTTCCACAGAGTTCTCGTGAGAAGGAGATGCGTTCTTTGGCTCCTCAGTGGTTTTCTCAGTCTGTGTTTCTGTTGCAGACTCGCTTGTCGTTGTTTCATCTGTTAGTGAACCGTCGACCTCGTTCTGTTTCGTGTCGATCTGTCGCTTCTGTCGGTCCAGTTTGATGCTGCGAGGTCCGTGCTCCACGGCCAACACACCTTGTCTGTGCCTCACCTCGTTGTTGTAACTCCCAGAGAACATGGACATGGAGTCTATGTTGGAGTACGAGTCATCTGCTGAATGCAGTGCGCTGAATGTCGGCTGGCTCTTGTCCGACTTGTCTTCCTCTGTGATGGAAGGCAGACTCTTGGTATCATCGTATTCAATGTCGGTGTAAGTGGTTTGTTTGTGATTGCTGCTGTAAGATCCTTTCTGAGTGCCAATATCGGATGGGTTGCTATAAGCTGTGTACTCAGCAGATGTTGGATATTTTCCTTGACTGTCGGTCATTGAGTATTTCCCACTCTGATTGTCAGTTATTGAAGTGTATTTGCCTTGGTTTTCTGTCATAGATGTGTATTTTGTACTTTGGCCGTCAGTTATGGAGGTATACGTAGGACTTTGGTACTTGTTGTCTTGGTCTTCTGTGAGGGATGTGTACTTTGTACCTTGGGTATATTTTACTGATTGATCGTCTGACGTTGATGTGTATTTACTGCTTTGAGGCTCCACACTGAGACCAGTGAGAGTGGAATACTTTGTTCCATCTGAACTGCCAGTGGAATACTTTGTTCCATCTGAACTGCCAGTGGAATCGACGGAAGTTGAGTATTTCGAATCATACTGAACACTTCCGACACCACTCGTTGAGTCCACTGCTGACGAATATTTAGTATCACCGTATCCACTGGCACTGATTGAAGCACTGTATTTGGGATCTCCATACTGAGTAATTGCATAGCTTGCACTAGGAGCTGAGTATTGACTACCGGTACTACTAACACTGTATGACGGACTGTATTTAGAACTTAAACTGGCAGAGTCCGGTAGAGTTGAGTATCCTTCTGGGTTACGTCCCATAGCAGTAGAGACATCACTGGATGAAGAGTATTTGTCTTTATTTTGATAGCTTGATTGGTAACCGTATTCATGGGATGGGTCATATCTGTATTTGCTTTGTGCTGAGTAATGTGCACTTGAAGTTGGAGCTGCACCGGAAGTGGCAGGTCTCGGGTATTTCTCGTATTTGCTCTCTGATTGTTGCATTCCTGCAAGCACTTGTCCAAAAACAGTTTCCTCCGCTTGTCCATTATCGACTTCCCCATTGGTGTTGTAGTCGTTGTAAGCATTATAGTACATATGTCCATCTGATGTAGTGCCAGGTGTCTTCTCGTAAGTTCTGCGAGCAGCCACTGGTCCTCCAAACGGATACAAGAGAAGTCCAGCAAGACCGGCAGTCAACACCAAACCGACAATGCCTACTCCTACGCTTGGCATGATTTCCCTTGACAGATAGTTGTAAATTCTAGTAGAAAGAGGTCTAGAACCATTAGGAGCAATTCTGGTCGAGTTGTTTTCCTCTGTGACTTTACTTTCAACAACACCTTCAGGCTTCTTGGCTGGACGACGACGGCGGTTCTTGTTCTTCTTCTTCTTTTTGGTTCCTGGTTTGCGAGTCCGTTTGGTGGTTGTTGTCGGTAGTTCAGTTGTCCCCACCTCTTCAGTTGTCTCAGCTTCTACAATGTCCGTGTGAACCACAACCGATGTTGTTGGAACCATCTCGTACTGGTAATGAGGCTTTGATGTCTGAAGAGTGGTTGCAGCCGTTGTTGAAGTCGTTGGAACAACAGTGACCTTCCTTCTCACAGACTGAGGAGCAAGAGCTTCCACCTTGCCCGGATTAACTGGTACAATTGTTGCATTTCCTTTCTTGAATGTCGCAACAACCTCCGACTTGTTCTTTGTAGAAGCAGATGATGGCACTTTGCCAACAATCACTGGAGTCTTATTCTTGAATTTTGCATCTTGCAACATCACCGCAGGAATCTTAACGAGCGGCTCTTGATTTACTGACTGAGTCTTCTTTGGATTGTCTACTTTTGTGATGGTTGCTGCCTGTTTGTTTTCTACTTTCACAGGCGTGTTATTTTTCAAAGCTTCATAAGTCGGCTTTGACGTTTCTTGGGTTGGCTTTGGCTGCTTTTTCTTCAGGGGTACTGGAGTTGACACAACACTCAAGGGTTTTGTTGGCTGCTTCTTCTGCGATGCTTGAGTGGATTGTTCACTGCCATTCAGGAGTATCCAGGTGGATATTCCGCTGGCAGGGGTAGACTCGGCTGTGGATACTTTGACGTGTTGAGTGTTTGTGACTTGGTACGAGTGTGTGTTGTCCGGGTCTAGCGGGATGGCTTCTCCTTTACCCAGCGGGACAAACTCCTCGGTCGTGATGTGTGTTTTGATCTTAGGAGGAGTGCGGACGTCCGTGGCGACCATGTCTGTTGCCTGTGGAGACTGTAGTAGCTGCTTGGTCACCATCTTGAGACTCTCTCCGATGGGTGTCGGACTGGTCGGACTAGCCCGAGCCTCATTAGCTGCCTCTGTGCTGACTCCTCCCACCTTCTCCTTGACATCTTGGCTCTTCCTCTCTCTTTGACCCTCATCATCTCGGAACAGCGGCCTGCAAAAGTTGAAGACATCGTTAGAATGTAAAACTTTGAAATATTTCTTTAAGGAAATTTTGATTCCACACCAACTAAGTTATGAACTATGTAACAAATTGTAACATGGCAAGTATCAAGATACTACATGAGAAAGAATTGTTGTAGATGGTTACTACAGAAGTAACATCAAATTTGGAAAAACCAAATATTTTTGTTTTATCCAGTATAGAACATGTACAAAAATGGAGCGCATTTCCACTCCAGTGTCAATTTATTTGTTCTAAAGGGAATACAACATTTTCAATCCTATTTTCCATTCAAAGTAGGAGTCATATTATTGGAATAATCTTACCACTTTGAAGAGTACCACCTGGAAAATAGTAAAGCCGCATCTACACATGGCCTGTAGGCAGGCAGATTATCTGCCTAGTGTATTTTTAATTTAACCTGCCTGCTAACTGACTTAGTGTAAATGCGGCTAAAGTAAAACTGCAATTTGAGTTAACATACCGACTGTTTTATGACAATGAGATTTGAACCTTTCAACAAACATTGTAGTTGTCTTTATTTGTATTAGCAACGGCATTTCTTTTGTTTCAGTTGATTGTTTGGCTTTGACGGTTCACTCTGTTCTGTAACTGTTATAAAAATTACTAATACTGTACTAAACATCTGAGGAAGTTATTTAATTTCTTTTAGCTTGATTGCTCACTAAATTTTTAACACTTGTACAGTAGTTGTTTGCCAAATCAGTTTCCTTAAAGGGCAACATTCTAACATATATATCCAAACTTTGTATTTTATTAAAAACATGTTGTTACTAATATATTTACAATGGGAGTTTAACGGTATTACCACAAAGATTTAACTACAGGTTCTTTAAGATACACAAAAAGTCACACGACATACTATTGATATCTTTTTTAGTATAGGACTTAATCACAAGATTAGGATGCAAGATGTAGTTCCTTCCTACTCCTTTGCTTTAGTTAAAATTCCTATTGCTTTAGTTAAGGTACTTTTGTGAAAGTTTAGGTATAATGAATGACCACATTTAAATCAATTTATACAAAGTTCCTGGTTATGAATGTATAAATTTATGTATTCCAAACATCAAGCTTATAACTCGTTTCTTTACATTTTTAACCCAAAGTTATGGTAATTTTCTTGGCGTTTGCAAAAGGTGTCACTTATTTGGTGCTAATACATAATTGTCTGGTCCAACACCAATATTTGTCGAGTAATTCTTTACACAAATATTTAACAACAGGCTAACAGACACTTCCTCAACAATCTGTCAGCTGTCCTCCATCTCTTGATCTTCAACTAACCTGAGAAGCCCAAGTTTTGTTTACTGGGGTCATCGACCTAGGAGTCAAGTCTGAAGCACTATGGAGTTGAAGTCTGTTAACATTCATTGTGAGTGCAAGTGGGACAGTGTTGGAATTTGAATGAGGTTGTTTGTGAAGTTTCTAAATAATTGCCTCACACCTTTTGTGCCGGAAAGGATTCTTTCCAATGAAGTAACCACTTTTGATGATTTGAAACTAGTTAATTTTTTATGTTTATGAAGTTGGAATTCTTCCTGTGTATTTTGTTTTGTGATACGTCATGGATATTAACGACTGATTTGTTAATAAAATTGTGGTCTATAGGTTAGGGCCATGGTGGAAGGAAAAAACATAGGTGTGCTATTCCCGTCATATGCTGACGTCACCCAGATTGCAAACACCAGTTCACTTTTTCGAAAATATTATAAAAACTAACAATTAAATCAAAACAAATATATACTTATATCTCAGTTATCAGGTGATATTCTGTTTGCAATCTGGGTGAAGTCAGCCTATGACGGAACCTATGTTTTTTTCCTTCCACCATGGGTCAGGGCTGGTCTTCAAGTTAGAGGTTAGGGCTTCTGGCCTGGGGACCTGGGTTCAAATCTCATCAGTCACTAATGGGTTCGAGCTATGTGACAATTCTATAAACTAGTTTTAGAATTCAACTAGGCCCATCTTAGAACCAATACATAATAGATATCTGTACTAAAGTCGAACTTTTTCTGCATTGGCAAGTTCCCTTCCTAAAAAGGAAAGGTAAATCTGTTTAGTCAATAATGCTTTGAATCAATTAATTTTATCTTTTTTCCTGTGGTGCAGAACTCAGTGGTCAAACATGAATTCTATCATAGAAAAGAAAGGTACTGAGGAAACATTCAATGGTACACTTAAGTGTATAGTTGTAAATTAACACTCACGGTGGAGGAATACCCTAAAAAAGAATTTCCGTACAGTGCTCGTTGCTCAGGCTCATAACAAGTATATTCCGATATACCAGTGCTGAAAGCGCACTTTTGTCCCATAAGTGTGTTTCCTCTGTACCTTACTTCTCTGTGATTCCATAAAGATTGGCAATTTGACACATTTTGATACTAAAATATAAAATAAAATACTGATTTTACTTTAAAATTGTTTTCAGATGGAAGATATTGTTTAAGTGGCAGTTGCAAACAATTTGAGCTGAGCGTTAATAGTATTTAAATTTTTGCCAAAACTATTTTCTTAGTACACAACACGACTTATTTTTTAAAAATGTTAATGGCTAAGTCACATCTAACCTATCTATCATAACATACCTCTTTTGCTAACTCAAATCTTACATGTAATCTAATCAGGCATAAGTAAACGTAACATATTAAAAAAGGCATTAAGCAAACAAGATCTCAATGATAAAAATAAATAGCTTTATTACAAAGTACAACATAATCAGGTGCACACATTTATTTACAATGTTTATTTCTAATTTTGTTTAAATAACTTACAACTAACTGCAAACACTGTATTCATGACACATTGCTGACATTTCCCTTATTTTCTGAAGATTTCGCTGTGTTTTACACAAGTCAGCGTAATGGCAACCTAAACATCATTCAAAACCGCAAGTTCCTTAAACAGTAGCCTACCTAGTTCTCAATAGTGTTAAAGAAGTGTTGTATATACATTTTAATTGTTCATTACTCATAATATACAAATACCAATTCGGACTTCATAAAAAAATATGTTGAACAAAACACCTTTTTCTATGCATAAAGATTCATCCCCAAAGATTTGAGGATTGAAAGGACCTTTGAAGATCTTTAAAAACATAACAGTTTAAATTTTAAAAAATATATAATTTTTTATTATTTTAATTAAATCTTAATTGGTTTGAAACTTTATTGCAAATTGCCAGCATATAATCACACCAAGTAAGTAAACCCAATCATTCAGTATGGATACAAACAATTTTAAATTTAAAGAATACCCAAGATATATATATACCTAAAATAAATTGGAATGTTTATTTATACCTGTTTTTTAACCCCATTAATTTATATCCCACCATTGCTCATGACTAATTCAACATCAATTTTATAGATTCATTTTTATAAACCCAATTATCATAACCACCATGAATTATTCAAATCCATCAATTAGAAAAGCAGACCAAGAATTGCCACGATGAAATAGAAAAAAATATTACTTATGAGTACAATTTTACATCTTTGTCTGTTAAATCATTTGAAGGTAAACTAAATGGATATGAAAATTCCTAGTCCAGCTATTTGTTTGATTCCAAATTAATCATAACTAGTGGAAAGAGATAATTGACTTTAAATATTATCTAAGACAGTCAAGAATTTTTGAATGAATAATAAGAAACAAATCAGTAAGAAAATTAAACAAAAATTGAAATGTAGCACTGTCAACAAACAATCTTCACAATTTCTAAATTGAATAGAAGCGCCTAATGTTGTTGTAAATATACCCAATTATTAATACCGCACTGTACTTCAATTTTTTCTTCTATCTTAGTTGCAATGGGAACTTTACAACCAAGCCAAGAAAAAATGTACCATTTCATTAAACAATGGATAAATTCAATTTTTTACAGTTCCAAAACCCAAAGCTTGGCATCCTGTGGTTTTATCTACATTACTTTGTTTGTTGACTTGTTATTGTTTTGTAAAAGTAGTGTGGTAAACAATGGACTGTTTTTTGGTGATTGTTCCTAACCTACATTAAGAGGGCTCGAAATGCAGGTCAAATTGGTAGGTACCTGGAACTAAATTAAGTTGTTAGATGTAACAAAAAAGTATCTTTTGTTTGTGCAGTTGAAGACAATTATTTAAAATGTTTCTGAGATATAGTCAAGTAATTAAAGGAAAATATTCTATAAGTTTCTTTGGCCTGGAACTTATATTTTTTTTTTTAAAAGCTCAGTATGTAAAATTTTCCATTCATCCTTATTTCATTTATGAGTGAAAATTTAAAAACGTACGTTTTCATGTCCCTGGCCTTTTACTTCGTAGTTATTGGGTTTATAATTTATTATTATGTGTTTTAATATTTTTTGGGACGGGGGCAACATGTTACACACATTTATTTGGTTTTAAATAGGTTCTAGGTATTTTTTTCGTATTTTTAAAGTCCCGAAATTCACGACCATGACGTGTCCCTAGGGTACATTTTCCAACTTTCACGCTGTTTTTAGACTAATTATTCATGCCGAAATATATAAAGCCATATTTTTATGTCATCAATGGATATTAAATTTACATAAAAGGAGCATATTATAATTTTATTGTCATTGCAAACTGACTACCATGACAAAATAAGTCTGTCCCTCGATTTGGCGTCACGACCATTTGGGAAAAATTTTCAACTTTGGAGCACGACAGTGGCAAGCCTGGCGTCGATGGAGTCAGTTGGTTTTAGAGACTAGTTCGGGGTGTACGTCAGGATTGTAGTGCCGGTCGTTTCGAGTTGAAAGGATGAATAGCAAGATTAATAAAGGAAAGATTGTGTTTTTTGTAATTTTGGTGTGTCCATGACCGTACGTAGTCATTCGATGAAGTAGACATGGTGTTTGTTATATACATAGACTATATATAATATTTTACCATTGTAGGCCTATGTAAAACTACTCTAAGCTAAGCTCATGTGACTTCTTCTTGTTCACTAAGACTTCCGTCCTTCCG